AAAAGTGACAGCTGTTTAATTAACCGCAACAACATTTTCTGTAACTTTTTTTATAAACAACTGAAATGTTGAACACTTCTTCAACAAGTTAGACAAAAAGTTAGAGAGTATGACATCTTCGCCTCCTTCTCTGCTATTCAAATCTGTTCGCAGAACAAAAATATCCGCTACGGATCTAATGACACAGCTGTTTCAGTACCTGCATTACCACATTTCCCCCCCTCTGTTTCCAAACAACTGCTGTTTTGACCACTCCCGCAGACAAAAACAGTGCGTATGAAATCTCTCTACTTCTTCGCTTTTCAAAACTGAAAAAATAGTAAGAATAGCTTCTACCAATCAATAGATAGTGCTGTTTTAGTAACCCATCAACTGCTCTCTTTCTAGATGCAGTAAGTCATGTCAGAAGCTAGCAGATTCATTATTTACCAACAACAGCTGTTAATTCCAATAAAACGACATTACGTTTTGAAGTTCACTTTCCTTGCTTTGTCTAACAACACTATAATGAATCTAGCAAATACGTTTTGTGGGTCAGATTTAGAGCCGTGGCGGTCATGACATTGTGTCAGCCGGTTATTGTCATGCAAAAGAATGCGGTCTCACGGTAATTGACCGTTAATTAACATAAACACGTTTAGCATCTCCAGGCCTCCACGCAAACAAGCTGCTGATGCACGCCTTTGGAACATCTACATTAAAAAAAGTATAATAAATCAATTTAATATACACCATCACAATAAATCCATTATATTTTAGGCAGGTCTAAAGAAACATTATGATATGAAGAAAATGTATTTCAGAAGAACAGAATATGAGTTGGCCTACTGTATGTTATCTGGCTATGCGCCATGCCATTGGCTGTAGGCTTGTTCAAGTCCAATGCCATTATTTTACATTATATAGAAAGGATATTTTTCACATTCCGGAGCGAGTGGGCATATGAAGTGGCTATGTTGAGTGTAAAAGTGATCATTTGAAACAGGTCCTATACGCTGAATTTAGAGTTATTTGCCAACTTTAGTTGTGAATGATACAAACCTTAGAATGTCGTAGAAATCAAAACATATATGGGCTGCATGATAAGACTATAGGCTATTGATGATTTGAGAAAGTCGCAAAAAACGTGCGCCCTGTTCCTTGCCTCCGGCTACACACGCTGTTCTCTCATCAAGTGATCATATTTTCCCCCATCAGACTATTCTCAATTGAATCCTTTCTTTATTAATATGTAAAAATAGTTTTGATTTAGAATGGCCCATTATCAAATGGGCAGGGGGAAAAAGACATGTCATCCGTATGCACTCGAATAGCGAATGGAGGCCGCTTTTCCGCCGGTTCGTATTTCAATCATGCGGGTAGGCTACTCTGGTTATTTCACTCCATGCATCAACCACTGAGGAGCATGCAGCCTCTTGCCCAAACTCTGTATGCTATGGGCTCTCCAACCCTGTCCCTGCTGCTACCCAGTTCTTAATCTGGGAAACCAAGTGAAATCTGTTCGGGAACATCAATAGTATCATGTTTTCACAATAAAACATATTTAATTAAACCGTTGACAGCCCCTATCTCTGTGCGCACAGGAAAGGAATGAAGGAAAGAGGAGGAGGAGATGGAAACGCACAGTGGTGAGATATTCTGTAGTGAAAGGTAATGTGTCAAATACAAATTGTAGGCTAACTCTGTAAACCGCCCTGCACACTCAATGAACCAACAGCATCACCTAGGCCTATACATTGTCTCCCAGACTCATTGATAGAACGTTTGGAGCGTAGCATAAGGTAACCAGTCCATCAAGTATGCATAATAATACAGTCCACACTCAAATGCGATTACTAGAATTAATAGAACCAATTATGAACCAAAGACCTCTTAAATCAGTTTATTTTTCTGCTGTGCGTAACATGCGGTAGGCTATGTATTGTATAACCGCACAACCATTATTTTAATTCAGGGTATTTTCCGGGCTTGGGCTCATATATAGGCCTATGGGTATGCTTAAGCTCTAATATGCGTATGGGTGTTTTGACTTAATCATCACCCTAGAAAGCGCTGTCCATTTCGTTGTGTTAAGCTTTGAAACAACATCCACAAAGACCATGTTTTCCACTCAGTTTCAACCTGTTGTTGAACTTCTTTCTTCAAATTGATTTTAAAAGCAAGATACTGTATTTTCTTTTTTTTTACCCCCTTTGTCTCCCCACGCCAAAATCATTGTCATGTGGTTAATCAAAATTCTATGCAAATCTAAATGAAAATAATACAAACCTAAAAAGTAACTTCTATTGCCAATGCCAACTACATAAAAATTGCCTACATAAAGCCAACAAATAAAAATATCCTGATAAAAAGAAGTATCCTATAAATCACATTGGCTACACATGGCCTGTCTGCAATGAACTTGAAACATTGTGTCAACTATTAACTTGGGTCCGGCCTGACGCTTGCGCTAGCTTACTTGCAACATTGTATAAAATATTCTGGGCCCTCAGAGTTTCCCGCGCCAGTGAGCTCAGGAAAGACACAGCTGTAGGCTATTTGCACAAGGGATAAGAAGCAGTGCTTGATTTGGGCAGGAGCTCACCGTGGGCTGAGTACCGGCACCTCACATTTTCTACTGCTTGAGCTCCTGTTCCTCTTATAGAATATTAGCGCAAAAGTATTGTGGAGCTCCTGCACCTAAATATAAACAGTACCAGCACCCAAAATGAGTATCGGAACCTATTTCAGTCCAAGTCAAGCACTGATAAGAAGTAAGTAGGCCTATTTTATGACGTTTTCCACTGGATCAGAGCATGACATTTTTCACTTTCACGCCGAGTGGTTATCGAAAGGGAGAGAGCTGGTAAGATTTTTCTAATACATTGAGGAACTATTGTATATTTCAATGGATGTAAAAACAGACTTTGTTTGCTTGCTGTTTGTGTTGAAGAAAACATTACTTTGAGAAGCTCCACAGGTCATTAGTGGTGGTGCGTTAAGCCAATCAGAAATTCTATCAGATCCCCAAATGAGCACATTTATAGGCCTACATTGTACATGTGCAGGCCAGGTAGCCTATAGGCCTACTTCTATGAGTGTGCGTCCTTACTCAAACAAAAGATAATGACTAAAATGGATTGAAATAAACCGAAACGTGTTTCTCACAAGTGTAGCATAAGAATTAACAGTAAATGTACTACTAGTGATATACTGGATATAATGGAGAATTGATATACGCAAACTATTCGCACAATGAAGTTTAGAAACAATGAATGTGCATTGTGCATCTGGGCACATGGTCACTCCAACAACTGCATTGGCCATGCAGCATTTACGGTGATATAGCCTCAGCAAAAGTCAGGGCATTCATGCGTCTTGCGCTTCGCGGAGCAGTGCAGAGCTGTTGTCAAGGAAGTGAGTTTGTGTTTCTACAGGATGTACTGCCCCCACCTACCATCAACCAATCATGCCAATGCGGAGCTATACAGAGCCTTCCATAATGTTACAACATTTGGGAGGCGCATGGCGATGCGGTACAGAGCTCGATTTGGCCTCTGCATGCCTCTGGAGGCGCCGCAATTGCGTCACACCCTCCATATGGAGCCTCCGACCACATTTTCAGATCAAGCATAAATTGGCTTTTAGTCTAGGCCTCCGCAATGGATTAGTTTACTGAGATGGGCGCAAATATATATATATTTGTTACTGCTCGACTAAAACAATCTCAGTCAACCAACAGCCTAAGGACCAAACAATAGACCAGTCGACTAATTGGGGTCAGCCCTAAAGAATACATTAGCATAACATCCCCAAACCAACTTTCTCATGTTCAGGCTATCCTAAATAAAAAAATATTTAAAACTTTTAGCAACTATAATGATAGATATTTGCATACATTTGCATAGAATAACTCACCAACAGTAACAATTTAACCGTTCAAGCTAAAGGCAACAAACCAACTTTCATTCTCAGGCTATCCTAACTTCAAATTCTTAAACTTTGATAAACTATAACGATACAAATGTACATACATTTGCATAAATAACCCACCAACAGTAACTCTTGAACCGTTCAAGCTAGAGACACATTTTACATTTTAGTCATTTAGCAGACGCTCTTATCCAGAGCGACTTACAGTTAGTGAGTGCATACATATTTTTTTTTTTTTTTTCATACCCCCCGTGGGAATCGAACCCACAACCCCATGCTCTACCAACTGAGCTACATCCCTGCCGGCCATTCCCTCCCCTACCCTGGACAACAATGGGCCAATTGTGTGCCGCTCCAAGTGTCAGACACCAAATCAACGTTCACATGTTCAGGCTATCCTAACTTCAAAATCTTAAAACTTTTATGAACTATAATTATATACATTTGCATTACATAATTTTTAAAAAATTATAATAATCCCACTTTATAACACAACAAAATGTGGAAAAAGTCAAGGGGTGTGAATATTTCCTGAAGGCACTGTAGCAAAATAAGTGAGCTAGATTTTGTTTGTGTACTGCCATATGTCGATAACATAGCTATGTTTGTCACTGGTATGGGCTAGTAGAATCCTAGCCAGCTAGATGGCAAGCTAAAACCGGGGAGTGGGGAGAGAGAATTCTCTTTCTGTTTCATCTGCTGCTGGCTTGCAAATGTTCACTCAAATTTGTATTTCCACATTTAATTAGATTTTTATTCTATAAAGATTGTAATTTTGTCAATATATTATATTGTAGAAAAATCCTCACAGTCGTTGTTCAGAGTAAAAAGTGAAGTACCACTTACAGCTTACCCTGTACAGTACGCTACAGGCAATACATGTATGTTCCTCCACCGTGTGAGTCATAGAAATTACAATCTTGCGTTCGGGGCTTTCCGGCAGTCTTCGTGGATTTCATATGCAGAGAGCATACATTGTACAATTGTCAACTAAGAAATAATCTTTCACATTAGAACCCAGTATATTAGTTCATATACAGCACCAACTACATACATTTCTGTTAGGGTCCATTATCTGCTACCTGAATTTAACTAGAATTGACCCGAAACTCTGTCACATACACCCCCTCACAACACCACAGAACACTAACTAACACACAGCATAACATGTGCCCCCCCCCCCAAGTACTCACGTTAGTTGTCTTTTTATAGTAATCAATGTTGTGGACATCCCTGGCCAGGCCAAAGTCTGCAATCTTCATGAAGTTGCTCTCTGTGACCAGGACGTTCCTCGCTGCTAGATCTCTATGTATACACTGGATGGAGAGAAGGAGATACAATAGGAGAAGAAGGGGAGAAAAATAGAAAAAATGTGAAGAAGAAGACAGTGGTAATTGTGAAAGGGCAGGGGTGGATGGAGAGAAGGAGAGAAAAATATATGGAAAAAGGAGAGAAAAACAGAAAAGAGGGGAAAAAGAGAAGAAAACCATTAGAAAGATTGGGAAAAGGAGAAGAGAACATGATACATACTGTGCAAATAAAGACACATTCAAAATACAAAAATAGATACAAGCTATGCTAATAAATGCTTTTATACTGATAACTGTAATGACCCAAAAACACACATTTAACTAAAGTAACACACGCTACCTAATATACCATGACGACATTGCACATGCATGAGAAACAAGCCTGAATCTGAAAATGATTTCTGACCCTTTGTTATACATGGTAGAAGTTGTTTGTGTGCCTAGGTGTGCATGTGTGTCTGTGCATGTGTGTCTCTGTGCAGGACTGCGTGCCAGAGTGTGTGTGTGTGTGTATGCGTGTGTGTGTCTCTTAGCGTACTGTGTGATTGTATGCTTTCGCCTCTGTCAGATTCCTCTGGTGAGAGGGAGCGTGATGGAGTGTTTGGCTAACGTGCCCATTCCCCGTTGTGAAAATTATATTCTTCAGTTGTCTGCACAGAGAGGCTTTGTGTGATCGAGAGAGACAATGCTGGGATTTGGACAGTGGGCTAGAGATGTGTTTTTAGGAGACAATATTCCCACAATGATAAACACACACTTTTTTACACAACCACCCTGGTTAAAGCCCTATCACAAAGGCCCAGTGCAATGTCACGGAAGTCTGTCTACCTAGCAGAATGGTGAGAATGAACATGGTTGTGTGTGTGTGTGCGCGTGTGCACCTTCTGTGAGGCCAGATATTCCATGCCCCGTGCCACCTGGTAGGTACAGGAGACCAGATCCTTGAAGGCGAGCTGTTCGTCTGAGCAGCGGTTAATATCGTAGGAGTACTCCATGCCAGGGGGCCTGCGAGTGCGTAGGTACTCCCTCAGGTTCCCTTTAGAGGCATACTCCACTATCACGTACAGAGGGCCTGTCACACACACACAGAGAAAGAGTGAGAGAGAGAGATATTTAGGACTCAACCACACTGACTGATTACTGCTTTCCAAATTGGGGAAGAGAGAAGGAACCGAGTCTAGCAGGGATTTTGTGCATCAGGATTGAATGTTGACTTAAACCATTTGTGGGTGACAGTGGCAAACATGGACTAATGACAAATATATGGGGAGGGGAAAAGTTTTTTTTGTGTGGATAAAATACTCCTTTAAATTCAGTTCTGTTGTTCAACACCATATTCATAGTAGATGTGTGTGAGAGAGCTTAGGAACTCTACTCTAGCAATACATTTTTGTGTGCGAGTATGTGCGTGCTTTCTCGTTAATCGTTTCACCACAATGGAACCAAAGGACATATATGGGTGTTTTGGGAGCCTTGTTCATGTTTATTCATGGCCACCAAATGATTTGATATTGAGATAAAAACAGCTGCATTGGACCGTTAAAGGAGTAGTTCACTTCCTCATTGTTCGTTCTGCAGTATGGGGTCCATTGATAAACATGAACAAAGGCTCCAAAAACACCCAAATACATCCTTTTAGAAACGGCAAAGCTCTCAGTATAGTGATACAGGTCTTTCGATGTTGTACACATGAAACTGTGTAATTCCAAATGTTATGCATGCACGTGCTTTCTCGTTCCAATTGTGGGGATACAATTAACGAGAAACCGCAGAACGAGAAATTAGGAAGTCTATTGCGGGTGGGGTACGTTTTTCAAAACTAAGTGAAATCGGCCCCAAAAAAGTCTGGAACTTCCTATAACATGCCATTTACAGTTGAAGTCGGAAGTTTACATACACTTAGGTTGGAGTCATTAAAACTTGTTTTTCAACTACTCCACACATTTCTTGTTAACAAACTATAGTTTTGGCAAGTTGGTTAGGTCATCTACTTTGTGCATGACACAAGTAATTTTTCCAACAATTGTTTACAGACAGATTATTTCACTTATAATTCACTGTATCGCAATTCCAGTGGGTCAGAAGTTTACATACACTAAGTTGACTGTGCCTTTAAACAGCTTGGAAAATTCCAGAAAATGATGTAATGGCTTTAGAAGCTTCTGATAGGCTAATTGACATAATTTGAGTCAATTGGAGGTGTACCTGTGGATGTATTTCAAGGCCTACGTTCAAACTCAATGCCTCTTTGCTTGACATCATGGGAAAATGAAAATAAATCAGCCAAGACTTCAGTTACACCAGCTCTGTCAGGAGGAATGGGCCAAAATTCACCCAATTTATTGTGGGAAGCATGTGGAAGGCTACCCGAAACGTTTGACCCAAGTTAAACAATTTAAAGGCTATGCTACCAAATACTAATTGAGTGTATGTAAACTTCTGACACACTGGGAATGTGATGAAAGAAATAAAACCCGAAATAAATCATTCTCTCTACTATTACTCTGACATTTCACATTCTTAAAATAAAGTGGTGATCCTAACTGACCTAAGACAGGGAATTTTTACTAGGATTAAATGTCAGGAATTGTGAAGAACTGAGTTTAAATGTATTTGGCTAAGGTGTATGTAAACTTCCGACTTCAACTATACATACAAAAAGTGAACCAGTCCTTTAAAGGGACAATCATGATTTGGTGAAAGCCTATGTTCTATCAGTGGGTAAAATAAAAATTTCCCCCATTATTTAACTTCTAAGTGGTCCGTCTGTGAAATCAGGAAATCGTGTAGGAACGCGTCATAGCTACATGGTTCTCATCTGTGGAGATAGGGATAACACACTATCACATTTCATAATACTTTAAAAACAATTATCTGCATTCCAGATAGCCAAATCAGCCAATAGATGGTATGGGCATACTTGTCTAGAACACATCCATCTGTTTATATTGTCATGACAAAGTATATATTTTGCTTAGATGTGCTCAATCTAAACAGTGTACCAAATTATTCAACTCAGTTTCTCCTTCAAGTTCCATCTTGCAACGACCCTGTGTGATTGTGGGAAATGCGGGAAAGGGCCGTTGTTGACATAGCAACATACTCTGCACTCACTCTGGGGCAGAGACAAACTGTAAGTTGAACTCGGTTAGATAGACTCCTACCCTTACAAAAATGTACCATGGTAGTACAATGAAGAAAAAAAAGATCATGGTATTTGCACCAATACCATTGTATTTTCCTGCCATGTTAGTGACCACAAAAACATTACCGTAATTTTCGGACTATAAGCCGCGCCTTTTTTCCCATTTTTCGACCCTGCGGCTTATATAACGGTGCGGCTAATCTATGGATTTTTACAGCTAACGGCCACTAGAAGACCTCCTAAATCTATGGATTTTACAGGTTACAGTCCACCAACTTTAACTCTATGGGCTCTATGACCGGTCCGCGCCCCCCACCTTTAAGCGGCGGGCTCCAGCAGGAAAAGCTGGAGGCCGGAAAAGAGTGAGACAGGTAGCGCGCAAAAGTAAAAGTGGAACCGAGAGTGGTACGAGAGACAGAACGAGAGACAGAACGAGAGCAAGACAGACAGACAGACATTACGAGAGCGAGACAGTTTGTGCAAAGGAAGTTTTCATGCACAAACCCTCATTATGGAAAACAAACGTAGAAATGCATATGATGCAGCTTTTAAGTTAAAGACCAGTCAATCTGGCTGTCAAAACATCCACGATCATTAACGGGTTCCGAAAGGCTGGACTGCTGCGTGATGAAGAGGAGGACGCCGCCACAGCTGAGGCCCTTCAGAGGCTGTTCGATTCCGACAGTGACGAAGAGGAGTTCGTTGGTTTTGAGAGCGACAACGAAGGAGAGAGGAGAGTGGCTGACGAAGCCACCCTGAGCCTGTTCGTTTCCGACACTGAAGATGAGGACTTTGGTGGTTTTAGTACGCAGGAAGAAGACGGAGATGAGGATTAATGACTTGACTTTTCTGGTTACAGCCGTGTACTGCACCTTTGCCTAAAAGATGAAGATGATGATTAATGACTTTTCTGGTAGGCTGATTACCGTATATTTTAAGCAGCCGTGTTGCTGCAACTTTAGGCTTACGCGCTTACTGTCGTGTTACAGGCACTTTATTTTGCACTTTCAAAAAAACACATTTAATTTAGCCATTGATATTGCCTCGTCAAGCGCTGTAAGCTTTGTTTTTTGTTATGGTACTACTGTAGGCTATAATGTAGATAAATATTCAAAGATGTGCACACTTTTTCAAGGTTTTTCAAAAATAACCAAAGTTAAGGGGTTAAATGATTGTGACGCTATTAACTAATTTTGCTGGGGAACCCCTAGCACTCCCTCAAGGACCACTGGTTGAAAACCACTGCTGTAGATCACTGCCGGTATGTGCGCTGGGAGCGCACCGTTTAAGTTTGAAAGTTGAAAAGTTTGTGTGTCTGAAACGCTATGTGATACAGTACAGTTTACACAGCACAGTATATGTTCTGTAGCTACTATTGCACTAAATGGTAACACTTGAATACGTTATGCAAATATGCAACTTGTTTGTTGAAATGTTAATAAATGGGAGCTTCCTCAAGCAGCCATCTCTTTCCCGACAATCCCCTCTGTGCACGAACCCTTACATATGGTAATTAAACATTAAAACAACTGCGGCTTATAGTCCAGTGCGGCTTATATATGTACACATCATTCAATATCATTCAATTTAGCTGCTGCGGCTTATACTCCGGTGCGCCTTATAGTGCGGAAAATACGGTATATACTTTTCATTGTACTAGCTACCATAGTACAAAAATGACCCATGGTAGTACAATGAAAATAATACCATGGTTTTGTAATAGCAGCATGTAGTGAAACATGAAAACATGGTAGTTGTTTACAATGTACTGTGTCCCACTGTTTTTCGGGTTAAGTGATCAGAAACATTCAAATGCAACATTGACTACTCACTCACAGAGTAGGCCTAGTACCCTCTTAAACCCCTTTAGCTCATAGTGAAAAACCACAACACAATTCTTTATTTTTATGTAGCAGACGCTCTTATCCAGAGCGACTTACAGGAGCAATTAGGGTTAAGTGCCTTGCTCAAGGGCACATTGACAGATTTCTCACCTAGTCGGCTCGGGGATTAGAACCAGCGACCTTTCGTTTACTGGCACAACACTCTTAACCACTAAGCTACCTGCCGCTGGTAGTGTAGTGTACCCTCTTAAACATTGGGACCTGGATAAGGTATGGTGAGAAGAATGAAGGGTCTGAAACCTTACATTTTTTTAATAGTTAGTTTATCTGGTGCTTCTCTTTTCAATACAGTTTTAAGTTGGCTCTCCATTCAACTGACTTGACTTTTCTTATACAATTCTAAATAGCCAACATATTTAAAAAATGTATTAATTATCATCTTATCGCACAGATACATTTTCATCATGTAATTCTCAACATATCCCTAAAAACAGTAAGTTACAATGTTTCCCTTTGTTTACACGTTTGTTGATGCTGTCGCCATGACTACGACAGGCTAGCTTGACTGGAGCTAACTTTAGTCGACATTACCTTCTATGCTAATGGTCTTTTATAAATTAATTAAACTATCAAAACATCATAAATAAATAACAATTATTATGTCATTACACTCGCTTAATTACACACTCTTAACTTGGTGTTTCATATCCTATGCTTTATAACACGCTAACCGTAATGATAACGTTTACAATATTTAGTTTATATGGTGCTTCTCTCTTCAGTTGGCTCTCTCATTCAATTGACTCACTGACTAGGCAGGTTAGTGCGAGAGTGAGAGCGTGTGAAGCAACCACTAGAGCGAGCGGCTCCCTCTGCGGGCCGAAACAAGCGCAACACCTCTTGCCTATAAATACTGTAAATGATTACAAAATGCCAAACATTAGGCTACCATATATCTTACATTATTCCACATTTCAGGTTGGTAACACAGGGAACCCAAACATGAGCAAAAAACAGTACTATTAATACAGAAAGTACTACCCCTTTTCACAGTAACTATTTCACTTTTATGTTATAGACAAACTAGGACCAACAATAGTAGCCTGCCTCTGACTTTATCAGAAACTTGCCTTACTGGTATATAAATAAATCAATATAATACCAACCAAACTCTTTTGACCTTGGGGGGTTTATTTATTTAATGCATTATACCGCCATTGTGCTATGGTAACGCACAATTAATAAATATGGTACCATATGATAATTATTGGTACCATTTATCATAATTGTGCGTTACCATGGTTGAATGTATAATGCAGGTTAAAACCATGGTATTTCCATGATCCACATCTACCATGGTATAAATGATGCAATACCATGGTATTATTTATGTGCATGGCAGTACCATCATACTTCAAATCTAAAACCATGGTACATTTCCATGATTCAGATTCATACCATCGTAATATTTAGCTACAATGGCAGTACCATGGTAGTACCATCATACTTCAAAGCTATAACCATGGTACATTTCCATGATTCAGACTATACCATGGTATAAGTGGAAGTATCATAGTAGTACCATGGTATGAATGAAAGTACCATAGTAGTACCATGGTACATTTTTGTAAGGGTAAATTGATAGTGCAGTTTGTTTAGGCGATTTTACAGCTAGCTAGCTACTTCAAATGCTGACATTTACTTTGGTATTATTGTGTGTAGCTACATTTGCTAGCTAGCTAGCTAGCTAGCCAGCCGGCCCAGAGAGAGCATTGCATTGCGGGTTTTGTAGTCGACTTGAGCTGGAACAGATTTCCACAATGATTTTCACATTTTGCTAACAACCTTGTTATAACGACAAAATGAAAGATTTGTTCACAAAAAATATTGTTTTCACACTGTTAATGATAGGAAATTGTGGTTTTGGGTGGATTGTCTCTTTAAGGTACAGCCCTTCGTACTCACCTTGTTGTGTACAGGCCCCTAGTAGGTTGATGATGTTCTTGTGTTTCCCAATCATCTTCATCATCTCCATCTCTGACACCAGATCAGACAGGTCTTTCTCTGTAGCATCGTCTGGAGGGGGGCAGGAGGAGGGAGGAACAAGGCGTCAATATACAGTAGAGGACAAAACAGACACACATAAAAAAATCACACACACACACAAACGTATTCATGCATAACAGACAAGTGCCTACACACTACCCGCTCCTCTTTCCCCATAACCCAGGACCCCCTAACCCGTCTGTCCTACAGTCCAAGCAGACAAGCTTAATCTGTGCTGTTATTAAGCATGCTTCACTGACAGTGGTGGTCTAGATTACATTATAGCAGTATGACCACCAAACAGACCAAACATAGGCCTCTATTCTTTCAGCAGCCAGGGAATTAAAAGACATTCGGTCAATCTGATGTTATTATCTCCAGCAGCACGAGTCTCTGTTTTCATGGGTCTGATTGAGGCGACCAGTCAGTCAGACACAATGGCATAGGATTCATTCCATTGTCAGCACCATTACCTCCATTGTCAGGGCTATTCTCTCCTCCTTTTTTAATAGAGTGGTCCTTCTATCCTTCCCTCCTTGTGACTACGCGTTCTTTGTGTGGGTGCCAAGTAAGGCCTGGGCAGCTGGTGCTGTGGGGGTCAGGTATGTGACCCCGCCCCATGACCCCGCCCCTACAGCTGTCAATCAGCAACAAGGAATAAGGACCTCGACAACCCCTACATACAGGTACACACACGTATGCACATATAGCCAGTGTATGTAGTGTATATAAGACATACATAAGTAAACACACCCACGTACACACCCCAGCCACAACATACACCCCAACCCAGAGCTGGTGGCGGTGGCCCAGCCCGGGGCTTACAGCTAGCAGGGCAGTATGTCTCAGGGCTAGGGTTACACTGTGGCAATCCTGAGATAGTGAGATCCCGCAGGCTACTGTGGGAGGGACAATCACACACATACAAACTGAGGGACACACTCACATGTACCTTTCAGCATCTTCACGGCCACTGTGATGGCCTCCTTGGGCTTGTCCTTATCGATGCCTAGCGCTTCAGCCATCACCACCTGGCCAAAGCAGCCCTCGCCCAGCGGCTTGCCCAGAGTCAACCTGTAGAGGAGAAAAAGGGAAACGTTAGAGAAACAGTTAATGTTCAAACACCTGAGTCATATTCATTAGGGCACACTCGCTGTTTAAGTCTGTTTTCTTCTGTTTGGTGCCTATTAAATACATCCCTAGCCAAATCAAAATGGATACACACGCACAGACTAAAACAATTTAGTGCCTTTATATGCAACAGTTAGCAACTGGAACACAAACACCTATTGAGAACCCACTTAACTCTCTTATCTCTCTCATCACCTTGCTCTCTGTAGGACACATACATGAACAGATTTGTAAGGAGCAAGAGAATGAGAGCGACAGAGAGAGAACAAGAGAGCGAGAAAGAGAGGTAAACAGAGAGCGAACAGGCAGTAGGCCATCGTTTTCCACGCTTCACAATCACAAGGCCACGGAACCAGACAGAATATCAGCATGCGCTGACCTGCTGGCAAGTGTCTTCACTGACATTTTCAACCTATCTCTGACCCGGTCAGTAATACCAACTTGTTTCAAGCATACCACCATAGTCCCTGTGCCCAAGAACGCCAAGGTAACCTGCCTTAATGACTATCGACCCGTAGCACTCACATCTATAGCCAAGAAATGCTTTGAAAGGCTGGTCATGGCTCACATCAACACCATAATCCCAGACACCCTGGACCCACTCCAATTCGCATACCGCCCCAACAGATCCACAGATGATGCAATCTCTATTTCACTCCACGCTGCCCTCTCACACCTGGACAAAAGGAATACCTATATAATAATGCTGTTCATTGACTACAGCTCAGCATTCAACACCATAGTCCCCTCCAAACTCATCACCAAGCTCAGATCCCTGGGACTGAACACCTCCCTCTGCAACTGAATCCTCGACACGCTGACCATCAACACGGGGGCCCCTCAGGGGTGTGTGCTTAGCCCCCTCCTCTACTCCCTGTTCACCCACGACTTTGTGGCCGCGCACGACTCCAACACCATCATCAAGTTTGCTGACGACACAACGGTGGTAGGACTGATCACCGATGACAATGAGGCAGCCTATAGGTAGGAGGTCAGAGACCTGACGGTGTGCCAGGACAACAATTTATCCCTCAACGTCAGCAAGACAAAGGAGCTGATCGTGGACTACAGGAAACGGAGGGGCGACCACGCCCCCATCCACAGATGGAGCGGATCAAGAGCTTCAAGTTGATTTAAAACAATACACAGCTTTTTTAAGAAGCTAAGGATCCTCCAAATAATGCTTTCTGGTGGAGTACCCTATTTTAAATGATTTTATATATTTCTGTACAGACAGGAGTAGGCTAATTAGGCGTAATAATTGTTGCAATTTAATTAAACTTACTAGCTTTATGGACACGAAGCCTATGTGACTCTTTCTGTTGAATAATTAATGAATTGTCTGACACAATCTTTTTTAAGAAGAGACATTTATTTATTTAACATAAAGCAATAAAAAAAGTCCACACAGAAAATGATTTTGAAGGCTAGTGCTTCTACAATAAATTACCACTAACAGCAGAAACATAAATAGGTCAGAGCAAATATTAACAGTGGATCTATAAGGCCTATAATAAAACAAAAATAATTAACTATTTTATAGCAAACGGCGACGGCTGGTAAAATGCAAACTACGCATCATCTTCTATCTCCAGCTCCAGGTTCCGTGCCAGGAACATGAGCATATTGACTTTGTCTGGCTTGAGGCACGAGCGGACAGGGGTGCTCTGATGCGGTGCTCGTGGCACAAATACACATGTATCTGCGTGCCAGCTTCGACATCAATGTATCAGGTGTTCATGGTCAAGCTGTTCCTGCAGGTAGCGAGTCAGTTCGGTGTCTGCATGGACTCTGAAGGGGTACAGGGGCAGGGGTTTGTGCCCTTCACTTCTGGAGAAGATCCCATAAATTCATTTTCTTGGCAGGCGGTGCACTCGCTCCATCGTTCGAGTCATCATCTCCCCAAGTCGCAGTAGCACCTCCAACCCCGCCTCCGACCCCCCCTCACCATTTCTTTCAGGAGTGCTTCTCTCATCTCATTCAAATCATCCAGGAGGGAAGACTTGGACAAAAGGTATTCTGTTGTCGGTAGGCTGTACTTGTCCTCGAACACACTGGACATGTTCCTTTTGAGGCTTTCTGTTAGGTCGGTGTCGTTGGTGAGGTCGGGCTTTAGATCTCCCGTCAGTAACTGGAGCACAGACTTCACTGACGAGACGGTGATGTAACTCTCATCCGAGAAAACATCAGTTAAGTCAGCCACAGGTTTCAGTGCTGCTTGGAGTGATGACAAGATGTCTTAGATAGTGCACGGTCAGGCTCATGTTAGGAGTCATATTTACACTTGACCACATGTCCGTGGTCAGTGCCAAAAAATGGACATCCTTTAGCTCTGTCTGAACCTCCCCCTTCACCTTGTTGAACAAGGTAGGCTGTTTGAAATAAATACTTTCTCCCCGGTAACGCGTATAGTTTGTCAAATTTACAGAGCATTTCTTTGAAGGTGGGTTTCTCCACCATTTTGAAGGGCACATTCCTATAGCTAAATAACAAGTTACACTGTCTGTCAGTGCTCACCATTTGTATTTTGTGCCTCGGGCAAAGGCTTGCGCCACACTGAGCTGCCGCTGGCTAGATGTGGATGGCGAGGCAGCATTAGCAGCCGTGGTGGCTAACCCAAGTTGGGCATAGGCCATAGGGTGGTTAATCCTCAGGTGGTTCCGAAGATTTGTGTTGATGGAATTCTTAGTAGGTATGGTTTTTGCGCATATTCTGAAAACAGGCTGGTCCAAGTCATCTGGTTCTACATTGTCATTAGGTTTGAAACCAAAATGTGCCCAAATAGGCACTACGAGAGCCTTCTTTTTCACCTCACTCCTCCGATCTACCGTAACTATGAAAACGGCCAGAGGTGAAGGGCAGAAGCTACCCATCCACCCCAACCTGATAGGCTATAGGATCAATAGGTACTATATGTACCCCCGGTCCCCACTTTTCACCCCACCCCTCCCCTCTTCAGTGAACTGAATTGACCTTCAAAAGATTCACTCCTAGCCGCACCCCTCCCCGGCGCATATGTCGGATTTGCTGATTGCAGTGCATCAGAAGATAGTTAGAAAGAGGATATGTATACAGTTTAATAAATGGATGGACTAAGTTAGCAAAACAAAGCCATATAATCAATAGTTAAAACTCCCACTATGGGTAAAGTATATCTACATTAAAATAAAGTTGATAAAACATTGTATTAAAAAATATATAAAACAAAAATGTAATGGTTTTGACGGTTTTTTATTTTCATTAATGGTCTTCATCCAAAACCGTCAATGTCCCAGTTATCCAATTACCATCACAGCCCTAGTCCACATACACCCACACAGGTGTGAAGAGGGCACGTCAGCGCCTCTTCCCCCTCAGGAGGCTGAAAAGATTTGGCATTGGCCTTCAGATCCTCAAAAAGTTACATTGCTGCAACATTGAGAGAATCTTGACTGGCTGCATCACCGCTTGGTACGGCAATTGCAAGGCACCCGACCGCAAGGCGCTACAAAGGGTGGTGAGTACGGCCCCGTACATCACTGGGGCTGATCTCCCTGCCATCCAAAATTGTCAAAGACTCCAGCCATCCAAGCCATAGTCTGTTCTCTCTGCTACCGCACGGCAAGAGGTACAAGTGCACCAAGTCTGGAACCAACAGGACCCTGAACAGCTTCTACCCCCAAGCCATTAGACTGCTAAATAGCTAATGAAATGGCTACCTGGACTACCTGCATTGACCATTTCTTGCACTAACTCTCTTGCACTGACTCACACTGTACTCTACCCACACACTCACACATACTTACACTGCCCTCTCAATACACACACTACACGCGCACACATGCATACGGACGCCACAAACTCACACACACATTCACACTAAACACATACGCTGCTGCTACTGTCTATTATCTATCCCGACGCCTAGTCACTGTACCCCTACCTATATGTACAGTGCCTTGCAAAAGTATTCATCCCCCTTGGCGTTTTTCCTATTTTGTTGCATTACTACCTGTAATTTAAATTGATTTTTATTTTGGATTTAATGTAATAATAGTCCAAATTAGTGAAGTGAAATGAAAAAAATAACCTGTTTGAAAAAATTATACAAAATAAATAACGGAAAAGTGGTGCGTGCATATATATTCACCCCCTTTGCTATGAAGCCCCTAAATAAGATCTGGTGACACCAATTACCGCCAGAAGTCTCATAATTAGTTAAATAAAGTTCACCTGTGTGCAATCTAAGTGTCACATGATCTCAGTATATATACACCTGTTCTGAAAGGCCCCAGAGTCTGCAACACCACTAAGCAAGGGGCACCACCAAGCAAGTGGCACCATGAAGACCAAGGAGCTCTCCAAACAGGTCAGGGACAAAGTTGTGGAGAAGTACAGATCAGGGTTGGGTTTTTGAAAAATATCCAAAACATTGAACATCCCACGGAGCACCATTAAATCCATTATAAAAAAATTGAAAGAATATGGCACCACAGCAAACCTGCCAAGAGAGGGCTGCCCACCAAAACTCACAGACCAGGCAAGGAGGGCATTAATCAGAGCGGCGACAAAGAGACCAAAGATAACCCGGAAAGAGCTGCAAAGCTCCACAGCGGAGATTTGAGTATCTGTCCATAGGACCACTTTAAGCCATACACTCCACAGAGCTGGGCTTTACGGAAGAGTGGCCAGAAAAAAGCAATTGCTTAAATAAAAAAATAAGCAAACACGTTTGGTGTTCACCAAAAGGCATGTGGGAGACTCCTCAAACATATGGAAGGCACTCTGGTCAGATGAGACTAAAATTGAGCTTTTTGGCCATCAAGGAAAACACAATGTCTGGCGCAAACCCAACACCTCTCATCAACCTGAGAACACCATGTTTTTCATCGGCAGGGAATGGGAAACTGGTCAGAATTGAAGGAATGATGGATGGCGCTAAATACAGGGAAATTCTTGAGGGAAACCTGTTTCAGTCTTCCAGAGATTTGAGACTGGGACGGAGGTTCACTTTCCAGCAGGACAATGACCCTAAGCATACTGCTAAAGCAACACTTGAGTGGTTTAAGGGGAAACATTTAAATGTCTTGGGATGGCCTAGTCAAAGCCCAGACCTCAATCCAATTGAGCATCTGTGATATGACTAAAAGATTGCTGTACACCAGCGGAACCCATCCGACTTGTAAGAGCTGGAGCAGTTTTGCCTTGAAGAATGGGCAAAAATCCCAGTGTCAAGTTTATAGAGACATACCCCAGGAGACTTGCAGCTGTAATTGCTGCAAAAGGTGGCTCTACAAAGTATTGACTTTGGGGGGGGGGGTGAATAGTTATGCACGCTCAAGTTTTCTGTTTTTTTTGTCTTATTTCTTGTTTGTTTCACAATAAAAAATATGTTGCATCTTCAAAGTGGTAGGCATGTTGTGTAAATCAAATGATACAAACCCCCCAAAAATGCATTTTAATTCCAGGTAGTAAGGCAACAAAATAGGAAAAATGGGGGGTGAATACTTTCGCAAGCCACTCTACATAGCTACCTCAATTAGTTTGTACCAATGCACATCGACTCGGTACTGGTACTCCCAGTATATTGCCATGTTATTTTTACTTGTTATTTGTTATTCACTGTGTATTTATTCCTTGTGTCTCTATTTCTCTATTTTATTACATTTTTTATCTTTATCTTACCTCTGCATTGTTGGAAAAGTACACTTAAGTAAGCATTTCACTGTTAGTCTACACCTGTTGTTTTACGAAACGTGACAAATCAAATTTGATCTTACTACTTCTGACCAGTGCACTTAGTAGGGAATAGGGTGCCATTTGGGCCGCTGGAAAAAACACTTATTTCTCTCCACTGTTTACCTTGCCCTGAACCTGCTCAATTTACAACTCATTACACCGCTTAACACTTGACGCTTTAACCCCTAAGAGAGAGAGAGCAGAAAACTGTGGTTTAACGTAGGCTAACACTGTGAGGTTACCTTAAAGGTGTGACAACATTACCTGAATGGAAATGTAATCTACAAACCTATTTTTGGTAATGTGCAGCAATATAAATCTAAATAAGTCACTCTCACTGTCACTCAGTTTGCATAAAATTCTGGCACGCTTTGTAATGGAAAGGTCTGTATAGCTACACATAGAATTTCTAATAGCTCTCTTTTATACACACTCACACAGGCATGTGCAGGTACGCACGCAGGAACACACACACACACACACACACACACACACACACACACACACACACACACACACACACACACACACACCTAGACTAAGCCCCAAACACTCCACACCACTATTACTCATGGTCACAACACCTCCCTGACCTCTGACTCTTTGGTCCCCGCCCCTGCAGCCCAGTCTTGCGGCTGTCTAAACATTCACACTGGCTCAGGGGCCTGAGGCCAGCATCCCATCACAGAAACACAATCCCTAGTCTGTCCACATACATACTTCCCAACTACCCCACCCCTAGCTCAATGGCACCCATTCTGCCCCGGCCCACCACACATAATCAATGTTATTTTTCCTTCCACGCCACCACAAACGTTAGCATTCCAGAATGTTACGCATTTCCACCACGGCCCCTGAGGCCACAGAGGAGGAGCAGAGGGGGAAAGAGATGAACAAAAGAGAGAGAGAGAGAGAGAGAGAGAGAGAGAGAGAGAGAGAGAGAGAGAGAGAGAGAGAGAGAGAGAGAGAGAGAGAGAGAGAGAGAGAGAGAGAGAGAGAGAGAGAGAGAGAGAGAGAGAGGAGAGACACACAGACAGAGAGCGAGAGAGAGGGCTCAATCAAGCATGATAAGGAGAACATTTAGAATTTTCTCAAAACGTTTGTATTCCACCCATAACTCACACAACACAAACAGTTCCTCTCATTGGCACATCAACTAAATTAGCTATAACTGACTTGGTCACTTTTTATTGCCATGCTACTTAAATTCTACTCTTGCGCAAACAGACAATCCTGAGTACAGAAAAGAACACATCAGAAATGATTTTCAGAGATAAGGGAATTCTTCTGGGAATGCTTTTCCCGATATTTTTTTGGAATGCTTTTGATCCCCTACTGTTAAATCTTCACACATACATGGCATGGCCTTACACCACAGGCGAAGGCATGTTAATAACCCAAGAGCCAGTGTGTGCTTTACTGCCTGGGGTTTCCCCATTGCTTAACAACAAAAGACCTCAACGCAGCTAAATCACTACAGTGCATTCGGAAAGTATTCAGACCAATTCCTTTTTCCACATTTTATTACGTTATAGCCTTATTCTAAAATAGATTCACTATTCATTTTTTTATCAATCTACACACAATACCCCATAATGACAAAGCGAAAACAGGTTTTTATAATTTTTCGCATATTTATTATAAAATAAAAAACAGAAAAACCTTATTTACATAAGTATTCAGACCCTTTGCTATGAGACTCGAAATTGAGCTCAGGTGCATCCTGTTTCCATTGATCATCCTTGAGATGTTTCTACAACTTGATTAGAGTCCACCTGTGGTAAATTCCATTGATTGGACATGATTTGGAAAGGCACACACCTGTCTATATAAGGTCCCACAGTTGACAGTGCACGTCAGAGCAGAAACCAAGCCATGAGGTTGAAGGAATTGTCCGTAGAGCTCCGAGACAGGATTGTGTCGAGGCACAGCTCTGGGGAAAGGTACCAAAACATTTCTGCAACATTGAAGGTCCCCCAGAACACAGTGGCCTCCATCATTTTTAAGTGGAAGAAGTTTGTAACCACCAAGACTATTCCTAGAGCTGGCCGCCCAGCCAAACTGAGCAATCAGGGGAGGAGGGCCTTGGTCAGGGATGTGACCAAGAACCCAATGGTTACTCTGACAGAGCTCCAGAGTTCCTCTGTGGAGATGGGAGAACCTTCCAGAAGGACAACCATCTCTGCAGCACTCCACCAATCAGGCCTTTATGGTGGAGTGGCCAGACGGAAGCCACTCCTCAGTAAAAGGCACATGACAGCCCACTTGGAGTATGCTCAGACCATGATAAACAAGATTATCTGGTCTGATGAAACCAAGATTGAACTCTTTGGCCTGAATGCCAAGCGTCACGTCTGGAAGAAACCTGGCACCATGGTGGTGGCAGCATCATGCTGTGGGGATGTTTTCAGCAGCAGGGACTGGGAGACTAGTCAGGATCGAGGGAAAGATGAACGGAACATAGTACAGAGAGATCCTTGATGAAAACCTGCTCCAGAGCGCTCAGGACCTCAGACTGGGGCGAAGGTTCACCTTCCAACAGGACAGCGACCCTAAACACACAGCCAAGACAACGCAGGAGTGGCTTCAGGACAAGTCTCTGAATGTCCTTGAGTGGCCCAGCCAGAGTTTGGACTTGAACCCAATCAAACATCTCTGGAGAGACCTGAAAATAGCTGTGCAGCAACGCTCCCCATCCAACCTGACAGAGCTTGAGAGGATCTGCAGAGAAGAATGGGAGAAACTCCCTAAATACAGGTGTGCCAAGCTTGTAGCATCATACCCAAGAAGACTCAAGGCTGTAATCGCTGCCAAAGGTGCTTCAACAAAGTACTGAGTAAAGTTTTTTTACATTTATAAAAACCTGTTTTTGCTTTGTCATTATGGGGTATTGTGTGTAGATTGATGAGGGGGGTGAAAAACAATTTAATCCATTTTAGAATAAGGCTGTAACGTAACAAAATGTGGAAAAAGTCAAGGGGTCTAAATACTTCCCGAATGCACTGTGTGAAACTTTCCACTGAAGCTGGCTGAGGCCATTAGTTCAACTCGTAGGGACTAACTGTTCTGGTATGAGGCAAAGCAAACATTCACAGCACACAGATTATAGCCATGTCACACACACACACTAGAATGTGACACATGGACAGTTTTTCTTAACGTTTAAACAGCTATTTTTTATCGGTTTTCCGTTAAAACAATGAGAACAATTCATAAAATTCCATGTGAATTCACAATGCAGATGGTCTACATTGCGCTTCTTGAGGAGAGAGAGAGAAAATTGTATAATTTATGCTGCTGCTGCTCTTGCTTTTCAGCTAGCATCTCTCGGTTTGATGCAGTCAAGACAGGTACTATGTTTTCAGATGAGATGATAAATACCAAGCCAATAAGTAAGTCTACCAGCGCGAGTCGACTTGGTTGCTATCTAACTCCCTGCTCCCCTCGCCACTCACTGACGCACACCGCACGGCCCCTCCCTCACTCCCTGCTTGAGCTTCTCTCTCCCTCCTGCATTACATCGCTGGTTAATAAACTAGCTAAACAAAAAAATATCCTCCTACTACCGTTACAGCATTGTTGTTTTAGGTATTTGTTTAATTTGTATTTTTCCCTTTATGATGAGGATTGGGACCTGTTAGTGGTAGTTTTGTGATAACTGCAACAACTAACATTGTTTTTCTGGGAGAAAAAAAAAATGACGATCCCAATTTCGTTTAAAACATTTTAAACACAGGGTCCTGATCATTAGGCTGAACATTTTATAACATTTTGCAATGTAAAACTAAAATGAGGGTTTCTTATTGGACAAGTCCATGTTGTCCCTTCCTCTTTCAGTCCCTTTTTCTTCTGTTTTGTGCCTAATAAACACTACCCTGGTACAGTGTAGTACTCAGAAATGACTCATTGTTCTTTATCACAGTCACAGCCATTACTCACTGGTTAATCATTACAGATAACAAACCATGTTCAATGGTACTTAATGGTATATTACACCAGACAACACTAGTGCCTCATGTAACATCCTGCTGATCCAATCAGTTAGGTAATTGTCAGCTTAAATTGCCATTATTCTACCATGATGAGGGAGTAATCTGCTACTATAATGCATATAGTTAGGAGACAATAAAGTAATCAGCAACTTTCACTTTAAAGTGTGAAATCACTGCCTCAAACTCTTACAAATGGGACCCTGCACTGGATTCATTTCTGTAAAAAGAAAAAAAGTTAGGTAGAAATACTGTACATTCCAACTGAGCAAAAACCTCACTGACTGCAGCCAGCCTTGGGCCTCACCGATTCTCAGAGAAATACCTGAGGATAAAGCCACTGTAGGCCACATTCCAGGGGGTCTGTGAAGCAGTTAAGCAACACAAATTAACCAATGATTGAAAGACACATTTCCTATGTTGCAGTCTGGCATTGAGTCAGGTAGTGATGTAGTTACTGACATGGTAAACACTTATCCAGGCATTGTGGGGTTTGCTGAGCCACTGCTATGTAGGCAGCCTGAAATGCGGCCATACTGATGAGGAGGCATATGACACCCATGTACCCTGTCCCGTCCCTGCCACACCCTGTACCTCCCCCCTCCCTATTCCTACCCCGGTTCCCATCCCTGTACCTCACCTGTCTCTGGAGAACTCCCAGCGTGGGTCTTCGGGGAGGTCATACTCTGGGATGGGGTCGTCGTGGCCAGCCGAGCTGCGTCGCGTGGTGATGCGGACCAATGGGGTGCTGGAGTTCATCGAGGAGCTGGAGTCATTTGACACCTGTAGGAGGAGACGGATTGGCTGATCACCGGTCTAGATACACAGGTCAGATAAAAATATTACTATATTAGTGAGGACCAAGGAGTGTAGGTGTGTGTGTGTGTGTGTGTGTGTGTGTGTGTGTGTGTGTGTGTGTGTGTGTGTGTATGATGGAAAGACATCTCCATAACTAAAGATCAAATGATACTGATATTGATTGATATTGTGCAAATCAACATATTTTCCTTCCCTTTTTAAAAACGAGTGAATGCACGTCAGTAATCATTAGAGTTGAGCACCAACTCAGCGCTAGAGAGTAACGTTCAGTCTGATTAATGTGTCCATTTATCATGCTGTTGTCATTGTCCTCAGGGCTCCTATCTCCTTTCCGCTCCAACCTCACCTTGACACTGGAACCACCCATCTCTCGCAGGAATGTAATCCAACACTTTTTGTACCTCTTGGAGTTTGTGTTTTTCCCCTTGAGGGGAAAGCATCACTCACATAGAAGTAGAGAAGCTAGAGCAGGAGATAGAGGTGATGGATAACAGTGCTAACATGCTCAGATGCCATGCACTGTAGCTAGCTGTCTTTCAGTGGAGTTAACTGGGGCTTAGCACTTCAAGCAGTGCGATGTATTAGTTACAGTATTGTTATACTGTTGGGGGCGGCAGGTAGCTTAGTGGTTAAGAGCGTTGTGCCAGTAACCGAAAGGTCGCTGGTTCTAATCCCCGAGCCAACTAGGTGAAAAATCTGTCGGTGTGCCCTTGAGCAAGGCACTTAACCCTAATTGCTCCTGTAAGTCGCTCTGGATAAGAGCATCTGCTAAATGACTAAAAATGTAAAGAATTTATGAAAATCCACTTCCCATGAACAGCTACATTTCGTGGGCTCTCAAATTAGAGTACCAGTAACCCAAATGCGTAAGATCTATGTCAGGAGTAGAAATTTGGTGGAACTTTGCTTTGTGTTTTCCGCTGGTAGGTAAACTTTGGACTATTTTATTAGGGCTTTTCACACTGCTGAACCTGAACCGAGCCGAGCCAAACCTGGTTACACATCCACCATAGTAGCTGAAACCATGAAAATAAAACATCCTAGTCAGTACAGTTTGGTTCGGGTCGGCACGATAGCGTGAAAAAAGAATTATGTATGAATGCATGTGTGTGTGGAGTTTGTGTTTCTACGGGTGTTAAAGGCCTTGGAAACCCCTTATCTACTTTCTGTTACCTGGCGGCGCAGAGGTATCTGCTTGCTGAGTTTGTGGACCGCCGGCTGATTCCCTAAGTCAGGCTTCTTAGCCGTATTCCTCATCCGGCACACCACCACGATAACCACCATACAGGCGATCAAGAACACCCCGATGCAGTAGATGGCTATCTCCACGTAGTCAGGTGACATCAGACCCGTCACCGTCTCTTCGTTACTGGCTGATTGGGGAGCAGGGGGAGGGGAGAGGGTCAGGGGGGAATAGAAAGTGGAACGTAGAGGCACATACTGACTCTTGACACACACACGCGGACAGACACACGGACACTTAAACAAACAGACATGGGCACGCTACATCTGATAGACACACATGTATAAACAGAACACACGCCATGGAAACGACACACACACACGTCATCGCTAGATAGACAAACAAAACATAAATAATGAGAAAGACACACACACAATGTTGTTTTTAGCTCCCTTCCCCCTCCTTCCCACTTCATCAAACAACCCATCTAGGACAGACAGGAAATGGAATTGATCTGAGAAGAGGGGGTAAATCATAGAAATCATTCTACTCTATTCTGATTCTACTTTTATGGGGCAAACACAGTCTGTTGGAGAGTACATCTTGAATGAGCTCAAGCAGGAGGCTGTACTACGCTCCTACATTCGGGGCTACTTGACACACCACACACGCACGCATGCACACACTCTCTCTCTCTCTCTCTCTCTCTCTCTCTCTCTCTCTCTCTCTCTCTCGCCACACAGACACACACTTCAGACGGCAAACAAGTGAGTGGTGCCCTTTGTGGTCGTATATGGCCTGAGCTTCCTGTCTGAAAGAAACGGGTCTGGGTCTTTCTCTGAGTGGCTATAGGACCATAGGCCGTTCCATAATGCATGCCATCCACCCACAGCTACAAACAAGGCCCTTGTAATGTGCAGTCAGGGGGAAATAATAACATGTAGGAAACTTTCTCCTGTCAGCATTGTATCCCCTGGTCCAAAAACCACAACATAGACAGCAGGCAGAGCCATGCAGGCGCCACCAGAGCAGATACGTGGAACTAGGGCAATAAGTTATAGATATTATTCCTCAAGGAATTACTATTTGGCTCCCTGTGATAATTTTGTTTTGTTAGAGACAAAACAAGGCTATTATCTGCGAGGACATTGAGGCAGTGTTTTCCACAAGCGCCGTTGGCTGTCGGCTAAACAGCCGATAACAGATACTTTTTCCACTTCATAAATGAACTAGGCTTTTTTTCATTTAAAAGTTTAAATTCGCTAGTCAGTAAAGTCCGTATAGCTTTCTCCCGCTAGAATGAACGATATGCATCTTCTAGTGATCTACAGTCAGTCACAAAGCGAGCGATGACAGGGAAACACTGTTGGTTTGTCAGTCTGCTGTCTGTCACACCTCTCGGTACCTGTGTTATTATTGTGGCTGTGGTTGGCTTCAGTCTAATTTCAATTCACGGAGGAGGGAGAGCCTGAGGCTTCTTCATCGTCTCCTGTGAGTGAATGTACACTTCCCATGTAATATACAGTGTATTCAGAAAGTATTCAGACCCCTTGACTTTTTCCACATTTTGTTAGAGTACGTTACAGCCTTATTCTAAAATGGATTAAATTGTTTTTTTCCCTACACACAATACCCCATAATGGCAAATATATATTTTTAGCAAAATTATTAAAAAATAAAAACTACATAAGTATTCAGACCCTTTACTCAGTACTTTGTTGAAGCACCTTTGGCAGCGATTACAGCCTCGAGTCTTCTTGGTTATGACGCTACAAGCTTTGCACACCTGTATTTGGGGAGTTTCTCCCATTCTTCTCTGCAGATCCTCTCAAGCTCTGTCAGGTTGGATGGGGAGCGTCGCTGCACAACTATTTTCAGGTCTCTCTAGAGATGTTTGATTGGGTTCAAGTCTGGGCTCTGACTGGGCCACCCAAGGACATTCAGAGACTTGTCCTGAAGCCACTCCTGCGTTGTCTTGGCTTTGTGCTTAGGGTCGTTGTCCTGTTGGAAGGTGAACCTTTACCCCAGTCTGAGGTCCTGAGCACTCTGGAGCAGGTTTTCATCAATGATCTCTCTGTACTTTGCTCTTCCCGCGATCCTGTCTAGTCTCCCAGTCCCTGCCACTGAAAAACATCCCCACAGCATGATGCTGCCACCACCATGCTTCACCGTAGGGATGGTGCCAGGTTTCCTCCAGACGTGACGCTTGGCATTCAGGCCAAATAGTTCAATCTTGGTTTCATCAGACCAGAGAATCTTGTTTCTCATAGTCTGAGAGTCTTTAGGTGCCTTTTGGCAAACTCCAAGCAGGCTTTTACTGAGGAGTGGCTTCCATAAAGGCCTGATTGATGGAGTGCTGCAGAGATGATTGTCCTTCTGGAAGGTTCTCCCATATCCACAGAGGAACTCTGGAGCTCTGTCAGAGTGACCATGGGTGCTTGGTCATCACCCTGACTAAGGCTCTTCTCCCCAATTGCTCAGTTTGGCCGGGCGGCCAGCTCTAGGAAGAGTCTTGGTGATTCCAAACTTCTTCCATTTAAGAATGATGGAGGCCACTGTGTTCTGGGGGACCTTCAATGCTGCAGACATTTTTTGGTACCCTTCCTTAGATCTGTGCCTCGACACAATCCTGTCTTGGAGCTCTATGGACAATTCCTTCGACCTCATGGCTTGGTTTCTGGTCTGACATGCACTGTCAACTGTGGGACCTTATATAGACAGGTGTGTGCCTTTCTAAATCATGTCCAATCAATTGAATTTACCACAGGTGGATTCCAATCAAGTTGTAGAAACATCTCAAGGATGATCAATGGAAACAGGATGCACCTGAGCTCAATTTCGAGTCTCATAGCAAACGGTCTGAATACTTATGTAAATAAGGTATTTCTGTTTTTCTAAAAACCTGTTTTTCCTTTGTCATTATGGGGTATTGTGTGTAGATTGATGAGGGTTTGTATTTATTTAATCCATTTTAGAATAAGGCTGTAACGTAACAAAATGTGGAAAAGGTCAAGGGGTCTGAATACTTTCCGAATGCACTGTAAGTGGTAACGATGAGTTGAAATCCACTTATTTATTGTTTTGTGATTGCGTGTTTCATAGGCCTATAGCCAGCCACGGAGTTGGGGCACATAGGCGATATACTGTTCTTTGATCGATGACCGAACATCTTGTGTTGACTAGTTTATAAAAAGTTTGTTCCCCATGGGGGGCCAGTATGAAAATGTATGCACTCACTAACTGTAAGTCGCTCTGGATAAGAGCGTCTGCTAAATGACTAAAATGTAAATGTAATGTGTCGAATATAAGGAATAAAGTCAATTTCCTATATCCCTTTCCTATTCATAAATCATACAATGTAGTTAAATGTCAGGGTTTCCGTTAGGAAAGTGTGGCGCCGGACATTTGACCGGCAGCATTTTAATTTACCGGACATTTGAGAAATTTACCGGACCCATATGCATTGGGTGGTTACCTGACTAAGGCGCCATCCACGGTGCTCCAGAATGATAGAAATTACATTTAGATTATGGTAATTCATATTAACAGAACATGCAAGTCGAGGGTGCAACGATGTGCGGACCTTCTTACCGAATTCTGATGTTTGAATAACTGTCCATATGTACTTTTCCTCAGCCAACAAGACGAGTAATGAACAGCAAAATCACTAGCCTATGTCAATCTACTATCCCCCATAGTAGAAAGGTTAAGCTATTCTATTGCCTATTCCAAACAGACTCTGGGACAGTTGTGGGACAAAAGATCCCAAATTCATATAACCAGTAACCCTAGGCTCCATAATTATAATGAGTCTGATGCAACGGATCAGAACGTTTAGTTTAAAACGTTGATAAACTATTATTTCTTCACATTATAAGCACAGCAATGTGCACAAGGCTGTAGACTCAATGTGAATGTTCGTTCCATAATGCAATTAGCAGGAAAACACTGTTGTCAAAAGCGCACCACACAGAGATGAAAATATCCGTTAGAAATGTTAAAATAGGGGAGATCTAATATGCAACAACTAGCATGGGTTGCTAATACGATTATGATTGTGCCTTTGGCTACTGGACAATGAAAGAAAGTTGATATAAAAGAATTGCCTCCATGGATATGGTCTGATTTTGGCTAAGCTAATTTGAAGCAAGGGAAGACATGCCTCATAATATGTAGTAAAACGAATACGTTTTCAAAATGCATGCTGCCTCCAGCTCATGGCAAAGTGGTGTGTGACGCGCTGATGAAGCCTGCTTTCCGTTGCATTTGCTGTTTGAGATGCTGTAGCAGCAGCTATTAGTCTGACAGATTTTCTGCTCAAAGACTCTGTATCTGTATGCTGTACGCATTTGATAAATAAGATACATAACGAATACGCTGTTAACACACGCCAATTGAATTCCACTAAATTATGCAAATTAACCTACAGACCGATAAGCATGACCAGTCAAATGTATTTCCATCGACTGGTATTTCCATCAATGAATAGGCTAAAAAGCATTATTTCACAATGGGATGTATTCTTATCTCCCAGACAATTGGCCAGCGGCAATTTTATTTATCGGGTTTTATTTATTTATTTGGCCAAAAGTTGGCTATTACCGGCTAACGGAAACCCTGTTCTATGTCTATGGTATCGCATCGGGACAAGTAAACCAAATATCTTGTTTGTATTTTCCTAGGATTCAAAGCCCATGTCGAGACTTGCCAGTGACCTCTAAAGTGACTCATCAGTGTATCCTACAATGTAAAAATAGAAAGTCTCAAAACACCATGACTGTGTAATGAATGTAAACCCAATTTAAGTGTTTTAACACACAGAAGGTTTAATACACATAATTAAGTACTCTGAAACACCCAAAGTGGTTCATCAACCTGAAAATTGTTAATTTTAAGAAAGTGTTGTGAAAACACTTTGGGATGTTTCAGTGAATGTAAAAGGCATCAAAACACAAAAACTGGGTTTCTCAAACAATCAATGGTTTAGAAATGCAAATGTTTTATAGCCTAATAATTGATTGATGATAATATTTTTTTACACCTTTATTTTTTCAATGCTTTATTTAGACGGATTAGAAACAGGAGGGGCATTATGATGGTATATTTAATCAGAATTTTACCCACTCAACCACACAGCCACACTGTAATACATTATTCTAGGGTTAATTGAAATTGACAGAAAAAAATAATTATATACTTCATAAAAATAAATGCAAAACCCGTTGTCTAGCGGTAACACTTCCGGTTTAGACACGTCACCCCTCTCCCCACCGAAGACCGGGGCTAAATTCCCCGCTCCAACCATTTAATCTGTTTCTCCCACCTATCTTTATTCCCTCTTTTCTTTTCTTTTTATTTTTTTACATGTACAGTGAGGGAAAAAAGTATTTGATCCCCTCTCAATCAGAAAGATTTCTGGCTCCCAGGTGTCTTTTATACAGGTAACGAGCTGAGATTAGGAGCACACTCTTAAGGGGAGTGCTCCTAATCTCAGTTTGTTACCTGTATAAAAGACACCTGTCCACAGAAGCAATCAATCAATCAGATTCCAAACTCTCCACCATGGCCAAGACCAAAGAGCTCTCCAAGGATGTCAGGGACAAGATTGTAGACCTACACAAGGCTGGAATGGGCTACAAGACCATCGCCAAGCAGCTTGGTGAGAAGGTGACAACAGTTGGTGCGATTATTCGCAAATGGAAGAAACAAAAAAGACTGTCAATCTCCCTCGGCCTGGGGCTCCATGCAAGATCTCACCTCGTGGAGTTGCAATGATCATGAGAACGGTGAGGAATCAGCCCCGAACTACACGGGAGGATCTTGTCAATGATCTCAAGGCAGCTGGGACCATAGTCACCAAGAAAACAATTGGTAACACACTACGGCGTGAAGGACTGAAATCCTGCAGCGCCCGCAAGGTCCCCCTGCTCAAGAAAGCACATATACAGGCCCGTCTGAAGTTTGCCAATGAACATCTGAATGATTCAGAGGAGAACTGGGTGAAAGTGTTGTGGTCAGATGAGACCAAAATCGAGCTCTTTGGCATCAACTCAACTCGCCGTGTTTGGAGGAGGAGGAATGCTGCCTATGACCCCAAGAACACCATCCCCACCGTCAAACATGAAGGTGGAAACATTATGCTTTGGGGGTGTTTTTCTGCTAAGGGGACAGGACAACTTCACCGCATCAAAGTGACGATGGACGGGGCCATGTACCGTCAAATCTTGGGTGAGAACCTCCTTCCCTCAGCCAGGGCATTGAAAATGGGTCGTAGATGGGTATTCCAGCATGACAATGACCCAAAACACACGGCCAAGGCAACAAAGGAGTGGCTCAAGAAGAAGCACATTAAGGTCCTGGAGTGGCCTAGCCAGTCTCCAGACCTTAATCCCATAGAAAATCTGTGGAGGGAGCTGAAGGTTCGAGTTGCCAAACGTCAGCCTCGAAACCTTAATGACTTGGAGAAGATCTGCAAAGAGGAGTGGGACAAAATCCCTCCTGAGATGTGTGCAAACCTGGTGGCCAACTACAAGAAACGTCTGACCTCTGATTGCCAACAAGGGTTTTGCCACCAAGTACTAAGTAATGTTTTTCAGAGGGGTCAAATACTTATTTCCCTCATTAAAATGCAAATCAATTTATAACATTTTTGACATGCATTTTTTCTGGAATTTTTTGTTGTTATTCTGTCTCTCACTGTTCAACTAAACCTACCATTAAAATTATAGACTGATCATGTCTTTGTCAGTGGGCAAACGTACAAAATCAGCAGGGGATCAAATACTTTTTTCCCTCACTGTATTTAACCCCTTATTTTTGGCACTAAACAGTCTCCAGATATACTGTACTTCCATTAATTTTTTCAACTGGTACCAGGGGACTTTCAGACGAGTCTTGTGAGGCCTGTGGGCGTCCTAGAGCAAAACATATTAGTGTGTAGCCCAAACTGTTCGGACGCTACATACAGAAGTTGGCAGATCGGCTGTACTGACTTCAGACGAGTCCCAAGACGGAGAACACCATCGTGTTCATGAGAGTCTCATCTTTCCATAGAGGGGTCATAATAGTTTGTGGGCCAAACCGTTTGGACACTACATATGATTTTGTGAGAACACCAATTTTCTGGATGTCTCATGGTCTGACAAACTCTGTTCTAGCTCTGTCTCCTTTCACCGCAGATGTGGAAGTGCGACATAGGCGGACGCGGTGGATTGATACGCATCCAATGCAAAAAAAACTGATATCTCTAGCTTAAACTGTCAGATTTCTGGGGGATTTATTTTATTATGCAAATTAGATTTGGACATTGACCTTAGGGGGTTAAGAAGTGTTACAACAGACATGTAATGATTCAAAATATCTCAGGATGATGTGTTTCAATATTCCAGCATAGTTAAGATTTTATCTCCTTTGAGTTGGTGGCAGCTCAGTTGCCACTAGTTTTGGTTTAACAACGCGATGGTTTGTTCGCGAACAAATGGCTCTTTTTGAACTGATCTTTTAGGTGAACAGAACCAAGTCGCATCTGTGAGAGATCCGTTCATTTGGCTCCCTAATTTGCATACTGGTAGGCTACTACTGCTTATTGGCGATTATCTGCAGATAAATTCAGAAAACATTTGATGAAGATGTTGAATCCTCACTGCAGGAACAATAGGTAGTGAAGAGAGAGCCTCATCTCATTCTGGTCCAAAATATGATAAAAGAAAACGGATTGAAGGTTATAAAAACTAATGTCATGATACTTGGCATTATTAAAGATATTGATATTGGACTACTGATTTGATTAAAGTGTCGACAATGGAGTAGTCAACTGCTGCTTACTGTGTAGCAAAGCCCATGTTTAACACCTGCTTCATTCTTCAATAATACCTATACGTTTATTAATGGGCGCCTGACTTTGTATAAAAGTGGGGCTGCACAATCTGGCGGGTGGTTTGGGGTTCCTCCCCCTGAAAAGTTGTGCAATTCTATATTGTTTCTCAACAGGGAATCCATGTTTACTTGACAGAATACAACTTTTTTCTTAGGTTTTTGCCACAATAAATTCAATTGAAAGAGTAGACTAGACTAGTTTTTCTGACTACATTACTGGTCCTCTGTAGCTCAGCTGGTAGAGCACGGCGCTTGTAACGCCAAAGTAGTGGGTTCGATCCCCGGGACCACACATACAAAAAAAAAAAAAAAATGTATGCACGCATGACTGTAAATCGCTTTGGATAAAAGCGTCTGCTAAATGGCATATTATTAATCTACAGCCTTCCCTTAAAGTCCCACCCACAGTGATTGACAGGTCTTAAACCCTACCAACTCTGTGACTCACAAACATTCTGCCCCCCTCTCTTGACAATCCCACCAACAGTGATTGATTGACAGGCCTAACTGTTAAAGGGATAGTTCAACCAAATTACAATGACACATTGGTTTCCTTACCCTCAGTGTCCACAGTAGAAGAGCCAATAAAACACATCATTCGAAGGACAAACCTCATTGTGGCAATTAATATCTTGCAGTAAAACTGTAAATATGACTTTAATCTCAAGAGAAGGTTTAATGTTAAAAAAGGTTATCTTACTTAGAAAATAGTCCTGATCATTTAGATCTAGGCCTAGACGATATCCAAAACAACTAACACTGAATACTGAATACATACATTTTCAGTAATATTTATTGTAAAGTCATGTCTTTCTACTCAATACCACAATTCATTTTACCAATCTGGGAGGTAAAGTCGTTTAAGCATTCAATAATTTAGCTGTGTATTTCAGATGGAATCAAGGCATTAGAATGTACTATAGGCCCCCAAAATAAAGCTTGTTCTGCAAAAACAAATCACGGTGGCATGCACCCCCAGAACCCATCCAGCCCAGAACTTCCTGGATGGCTACTTTTTCTATTTGGCTAGCTACTCCATGTACTTACGGAAAAAAACTGCATTGAGGGTTTTTTTGTACCCGCTGTCTGTTTAAGTTGTGGATTACAGGTGATTACGTGCTGTCATCCATCTCATTTAATGTCCAGAGTCCAGACATCTCATCCACCCTACATGAATGTAGATGTATTAATGTTGGCTGACTCTGTTGCCATAAGTGAATCTCTAACCAAGGAATGAACATAAGTGTTGACATGGAGTCTATCTGATGTTTTTCAGTGTAGACATAAGGGACACAGACACACAAGCACTTGCGCAGACACAAAGAGAAACACACACACATTTAAACACACACACCCACTCGCGCAGACACAGGGAGACACACATACATTTAAACACACACACAATACCAAATACATTGAAAAAATTGATATTGGAGAAAGTCAAGTCGTAAGTATTGAGGCTGTTACTTTCTTTTTTCTTTTGTATTATCTCAAGGAGAAATAATAAAAAGGCAATAAATGATCAGACCCAGGAAAGAAGTGGAGCCATGAGGGAGTTGGCATCCAATCGCAAGGCACCCACTAACACCGACAGACAGACAATATCATCAACACAGACAGACACCCTGCTTTTGTAAAAACATGCAGTACGAGCCAAAATGTCCCCACTTTCCCCGAGAACCAGAAGAGAGAAAGAGATACGATGTGAAAAAGAGAAAGAACGAGGGAGGGAGGAAGGGGAGGGGAGAGAGGCAAAACCCCTCTTGAGTAAGGAGATACAGTGCATTCGGAAAGTATTACCCCTTGACTTTTTCTAATTTTGTTACGTTACAGCGTTATTCTAAAATGGATTAAAGTTTTTTTCCCTCATCAATATACACACACAATACCCCATAAAGACAAGCAAAAACAGGTTTTTAGATTTTTTAGCAAACTTATAAAATATAAATAAAAAAATGAAATATCTCAGTACTTTGTTGAAGCACCTTTGGCAGCGATTACAGCCTCGCGTCTTCTCTGGCTGGGCCACTCAAGGACATTCAGAGACTTGTCCCGAAGCCACTCCTGCGTTGTCTTGGCTGAGTGCTTAGGATCGCTGTCCTGTTGGAAGGTGAACCTTTACCCCAGTCTGAGGTCCTGAGCACTCTGGAGCAGGTTTTCATCAAGGATCTCTCTGTACTTTGCTCCGTTCATCTTTCCCCTCGATCCCGACTAGTCTACCAGTCCGTGCCGCTGAAAAACATTCCCACAGCATGATGCTGCCACCAGCATGTTTCACTGTAGGGATAGTGCCAGGTCTCCTCCAGATGTTACGCTTGGCATTCAGGCCAAAGAGTTCAATCTTGGTTTCATCAGACCAGAGAATCTTGTTTCTCATGGTCTGAGAGTCATTTCGGTGCCTTTTGGCAAACTCCAAGCAGGCTGTCATGTGCCTTTTACTGAGGAGTGGCTTCCGTCTGGCCACTCTACCATAAAGGCCTGATTGGTGATGTGCTGCAGTGATGATTGTCTTTCTGGAAGGTTCTCCCATCTCCACAGAGGAACTCTGGAGCTCTGTCAGAGTGACCATCGGGTTCTTGGTCACCTCCCTGACCAAGACCCTTCTCCCCCGATTGCTCAGTTTGGCCCGGCGGCCAGCTCAAAGAAGAGTCTTGGCGGTTCCAAACTTCTTCCATTTAAGAATGATGGAGGCCACTGTGTTCTTGGGGACCTTCAATGCTGCAAAACATTTTTGTTACCCTTCCCCAGATCTGTGCCTCGACACAATCCTGTCTTGGAGCTCTATGGACAATTCCTTCGACCTCATGGCTTGGTTTTTGCTCTGACGTGTACTGTCAACTGTGGGACCTTATATAGACAGGTGTGTGCCTTTCCAAATCATGTCCAATCAATTGAATTTACCACAGGTGGACTCCAATTAAGTTTTAGAAACATCTCAAGGACGATCAATGGAAACAGGATGCACCTGAGCTCAATTTCGAGTCTAATAGCAAAGGGTCTGAATACTTATGTAAATAAGGTATTTATGGGGTATTGTGTGTAGATTGATGAGGGCAAAAAAATATTTCATCCATTTTAGAATAAGGCTGTAACGTAACAAAATGTGGAAAAAGTGAAGGGATCTGAATACTTTCCGAATGCACTGTAAAATATTTTATATATTTTCCTTTATTATTTTCCCCTAACCCTACCATCCCTCCCTAATTTGAGTAAACTAATGGACAACAACACTTTGGCTTCTACTTCCACCTTATACATACTATATACATTTTACAATAGTTATCTTTTGTTTGTTTTTAGTCCCATCCTTCAGCTCCCCTCAACCCCTCCCATCTATCTCTGAACACCATCCAGTTTTGATTTCTATTTGCCATATATTTTTCAACTGTGCTGTGATGTTTCACAAAAGTTCTGAACCTTTCTATTCTCATAGATTCTACTGATTAAAGATAAAACATTTTGCTAAGAGTATTATTATATTATTGCTCGACTGACTATAGCTGTGTTTGAATACCCATACTAACATACTGTATACTACATACTTAATGAGTATATACTGTACTACATACTATTAGTTCATTTTAGTATACTGTAAACGAACGGTATCCTTTCAGTTGAGTGTACTAGCACTACGCCTGTCTACCGGAAGTTGATGCTGTTGCTATGCAACCTCTTGCTAGCTTGTTAGCATAACAGATTACTAGCTAGACATGTTAAGACTTCGGGTGTGTTCGTAAATTCAATCTGGAGTGCCAAAGTGTGCTCAGAGTGCCCTCTGGGCGTTCGTAAATTCAGAGCGTTCTCAGATTGTCTGTTCGTATATTCAGAGCATTTCGCTCTCAGAGCGTTCAGAGCGCGCACTGGACGCTCTGGCCAAGAAGTAGAGTTAATCCGAGCGTTCTGACCTGACAACGGCAGTCAAGCACCCAAGCTAACTGGCTAACGTTGGCTAGCTACTTCCAGACACAAATGAGAGAACACCTCACTCTTACCATTTTACTTGCCCTAGCATAGCTGGTTAGGCCGTTGGTGACTGTAACTGTGCTGCTGGCAACAATTTAACTTTGCTTTTTTTGCAGACGCTTACTGACACCGGCCATATTCAACGGATGTTGAGCTTTAGTAAATTCATCAGTTATTCTGCACACATGACTATACCACTTTGCAAAGAATGACGTGAATAATCAAGTCAATAAACATTGGGTAGTTAGTTAGATAGCATTTAGATAATATACTGGCAAGTTCGATGTATTAGTAGCCATCTAACGTTAGGTAGCATATTACATACTCAATTTACGTCACAAATAGTACGGTTAGTGCCGTTAGTATGACTATTTGAACACAGCTTATGACTTTTTAAATCACCCAGCAGTCCTATTTGCAGAGTTAGCTCCAGGTAAATGTTGCAATTCTTCAGCCATTCCTGAACCCTAGACCAAAAACAAGCTACATATGGACAGTACCAAAACAAATTATCAAATGATTCTGACTCTTCACAGCAAAATCTGCGGAGCTGGGGTGGTTGTATCCCCCCTACATATAACATTCTATTGGTTGCAAGAATTTTGTAAAATAATTTAAATGGAACAATTTTGAAGATAGTTGTTTTGTGTATCAGTTCATAAACCATGTGCCATGGAATCATTACATCAAAAATATCTTCCCAACTATTTTGCAATCTATATGGCACAGCTGTAAATGTTTTGGTCCTTAAATTAAACTGGTATACTGTTTTATTTATCACAATATTCTTTAGCCAATTTTGGTCTTTAATGCAGGGCCGACAGACAATTTCCTTACTTTCTCCCACTTCCACTTGCCTCTTCCATTTTTGCGGTAATGCTGCAATTTTCTGGTTGTAATTTTGAGTAGAGTAGACATTTCCGTATATTTTTGTTAGCTGCATGTGTGGCATAACTCCACCAGTCCTATTTATATTCATTTTTTATCAATTAGTATATTTGAGTTTAACCATAATATTTGTTCTGTCTTTTCTGGTGGATTAAACTGAAATTGCAAGCAACTTTCTATGGCTTGTTTTAAAAATAGCAATATTTTGGACATTATTTCATTTTCAAATAACCAAAAGTGAGAGGTTGTAATCTGAATAAAGGGGAAAAGGCCATTATTGAACATGGGGTGAGACATTCTTACTAATCTTCTAGAGAATTAGTTTGGATTTAAGTATTACTTTTGTATGACTGAAGCCTTTAGTGAGAGGTCTAATGCTTTAATATTTAATAATTTCTGCCCTCCGAATTCATATTCATTATATAAATAGGCCCGTTTAATTTTGTCTAGCTTGCCGTTCCAAATAAAATGGAATATTTTCTGCTCATATAATTTTAAAAACAAGTCGCTAGGTGTAGGCAGGGCCATAAGCAATTAGGTAAATTGGGATATGACTAAAGAGTTAATCAGGGTGATTTTCCCACAAATAGACAGGTATTTTCCTTTCCACTGTAGCAAGATCTTATCTATTTTTGCCAACTTTCTATTCAAATGTATTGTAGTGAGATCATTTATTTCGTTTAGGATATGAATACAGAGTATGTCCACTTTACCGTCAGACCATATTATTGGTAAACTACACAGTAATGTAAAAGTGGTATTTTTCTGTGATCCAATATGTAATATAGTATACTTCTCATAATTTGGTTGTAATCCAGAGAGGTTAGAAAAAGTATCTGGAAAAAGTCAAGGGGTCTGAATACTTTCCGAATGCACTGTACTTGAGCCATTCGGGGAAGTCGACTTCCGCTCTAGAGTTATAAGCCTTGAGCAAATGCCCCTTTATTAGGCTTTCAACACGTCACCAATCAAGATAACAGAATATATGGAATACATATTCCTGCTCTAGACCCTGCACAGATGCGCGCGACTCTTTGCAGCAGTAAGAAAGCCATCGCCATCTGCGCCCATTAAACATAGCCTAGATTTACGTTTTATTTACTTCTAAACAAAATAACTTTTTGTGGTTCTCATTCGCTTACATTGATGTTTTGATTCTTGCTTGAACAGTCGCTAAGATTATATTTGGTTGTGATCTTTGCCAAATAACTAATTTGGATAGAGCAGTTGTTAGCTAGAATGCTAATGCTCATTGATATAGGCTGTAGCAAAAGCTAGCCAACGAGTATAATACAGTTGATTTGTGATGATGACACAAACATTATATTAACCAGGACATTCACACGAGCCATAAAATCCTATTATAATCCAAAAGTAGTGTGAAATGTACTCATAAGCAACATGTAAATAAGAACTCCCCCTTGTTCTGCCACCAACTTACGCACATCACCCTCTGTGCGGCCATGTTAAACACAGAAAGGGGTCTATTACACTGAGTTAGACGTTGAGTTGTTGACTGTGTAAATTCATCATAGTAATCTGATATTTTGTTATTTCGTTGAGTTAGGGTTAGGTTGTCTTTCACTCCAGAGGGACTTTTCACTTCTCCGTTCTTCCTCCCATAGAAATTATCGAAATAACTTTATTGACTGAACATTGAACTGTTAGTGGACAACATTGACAGAGAAAGGGGGGAAAGGGAGCACAGTATATGAGTGTATATACCTGGAAGCACCGTCAACCAAGCAGTGTGATAGGAGATCCCAATAGAATTGCCCGCCAAGCACGTATACTCCCCAGCATCCTCGTAAGTGACATTGGGGAGGTAGAGGACTTCAATCTCCTTGTCCGTGGTGTTAACACCTGCGGTCTGGGAGAGGGAGAGGAGGAGGGGTGGAGGACGATGAAGAAGAGGAAAGGAAGAGCAAGGGAAGGGGGATGGAGGATGGGACAGGAGGGGTGGAAGAAGAAGAGGAGGAAGACAAAGGGAGGGAGGATGCAGGAAAAAGAGGAAAGGAGGGAAGATGGAGGATGGATATTTGAGGATAGAGGGGGTTGAAATGGAAGAAAGTAAGATAAAGGGAAAGGAGTCGGAGTAAGAATAGAGGGGAGGAAAGAAGAGAGCAAGAGGAAGCAGAGGTAATAATTAAATCCACAACACCAAGAGAGAGGAGCAGCTGGATGGCGTCCATCACTGGGAGGAGAACTGTTGTCCCATATATAGAGATAGAGTAGATGGGAGGAGCTTTCAGGGAAGGGAAGGATCTTCCCGGGGGGGGAGAGAGCACCTTGTACCACAGGAAAAAATAGGAAACACAATACACAAAAACACTGTCAAAAAAGTCCCTTCACCCACAACACCAGAGCCCAATAGTAAGTCCACACCAGGCCTGGGCATGCATAGTACACACAACCACAGAAGGAGAAGATAAGGAGATCACCCCACTGCAGCACCCAACACTAGCCTGTACCCTGACACATCACACCTTTCGAGAGAGAGAGAGAGAGAGAGAGAGAGAGAGAGAGGAGAGAGAGAGAGAGAGAGAGAGAGAGAAGAGAGCGAGAGAGAGGAGAGAGAAGAGGGAAAAGGAGAAAAGAGAGAGAGGAGCTTTCTCTCTCTCTATCTCTCTCTTCCCTCGAAGATGCTTTCGAGATCTTCCGTTATGATCTGCGGTTTTTCATGGGTGTGCAGGTCCAGTGGGCATTTCCATGGCTGTACAGTCAGACACAGTACAGTAGAGTAGCTGGGAGTAAAACAGTAGAACACTGAGAGAGGGTCAGTCAGTCCACAACCCAGTAGGAACCAAGACCAGCACACCACCAAACCACACCGAACCGGGTCAGTAACAGTCCCAAAGAGACCATACGGGAGGGGGTCAACAGAGGTCAGGTGTCAGTGGTTACCTGGGATGACGGTCAGCCAGCCCGACTGGTTGACCGCACCTATATAATTGGAGACTTTACAGGTATACTCTCCGGCATCCTCTTCGGTCACGTTGGTGAGCGTGAGCACCTCCACGTCCGAGCTATTGATGCCTGAGCGCTGGAGTGTGTGAGCCACACACACATACAAAAACACGCACGTGCACGCACACACACGGCAGCAAGGGGACAAAACACAGGAAAGCCTGTTAACTGTCACATCTGCAACCTAAATGCAGGGAGAGGAGAGTCAAGGAGCCGCCACACAGACAGGAGCACAGCTTGAGTATTCCAGTAGTATTTATTATTCTTCGCAAAGGGGGAAAATTTTAAATGGCAAAAAGGTCACCTGAAAACAAAATCATTATTAGCCTACACTTTGAAGAAAAAAAATATATGAAAAGCTACGATAGGTAATCAGGTGTCAATTTTCACCGCTCAGGTCAGAACAGCCAATGAGGGGCCAGGGAGGGCTGGAATGTACCTTTAGGACGCGGACGTAGGGGTGTCCGTCTGGGCCAGTGCGACTACCATTCTTCTGGATGTGCTGCAGCCACTGGATGTGGGGCTGAGCATCGCTGTACACCTTACACACGAAGCGTGCGTCCTCCCCCACTTGCACACTGGTGTTGGCCGGCAGCCCTGCTTGGAGAATGGGCGGATGAGGGGACCGTTCTAAGATGGAGAGAGAAAAGGGGTGTTATGTTAGTTTGTGCATTGAGACATCACCATGGCCATTCCAAACCCCAACCTTGCACTGTACACCCTAAGGCAATAGACAGGTTTGTATTACTAATGTCAATGACAGACAATTGATCAACTAAGCTAGATCACCACTCGGTACCTTGAGACTAAGCATTAGGACACAGACACTTTATGTGTAAGGAACTGACAACGAGCACAGAATACTACCCAAAAGCCTGATGCACAGGCTTGGGACAGTATGGTAAAAAACGGTTTTTACTTTATGCTTGTGTTTTTGAAGTTTTGAGGCTGTGAAGGGGGTCTGGATGTTTAGGGGAACAGTGGACACGGGTGAATATTCCACAACCGGGAGACAAGCAGAGTCACGACAAGAAAACTGCCTATCTCTTATCACCACACTGCGTAGATTATTCACACAAAACAAAGAGGAGTTATCTCTACTGATAAGGACTAAACACACCTGTAGTAAGAGTTTAATCTAAAAACTCACTTCAATCACATTCTGAGCCGATGCTATTTCAAAATGCCTTTTATTGCAAAACTTTGGCAACTATATGAAGTAACTAAACATTAGCTGACACTGTGGCCTAGTAAGGGTTACATTATACAGCCACGCTCCGCAGAGAAACACCTTCATTTTCCCTCACTAAAAACGATCTGCGTTCTTTTGCAAGCAAACATTTGGCCTGCAAATCCAAACAGAGCAAGACCTGCCGAACAATACCCCCTTTCACACACTACCCTACCACTGCCTACCCTTCACTACCCTGCACAACCCTGTGTGTCTGTGTTAGTCTGTCTGTTTGTTTGTATGTCAGACGTTTGCCAATACACCTCTGCGCTCTCTGTCTGTCAGTCAGTAGGCCAAAGTGCTACTCTCTCTCTCTCCGTCAGATCAGATGATTCCCACCCCTCCCTCGTCTCTCTCTCTGTCTTTTCCCCTCCTCCTTATGAATTCTTTTGGCTCAGCGTGCTTATTGTCTCCCTCCCTCCCTCCCTCCCTCCCCTCCTCCTTCCATCCATCTCGCTCACATGCATGCCTCTCTCTGTCTCTCAATCACTCTCTCTCTGTCTCTCACACACACAAACACACACACACATATTAACATGGAGAGAATGAAGTACCCTACACCACAAACAGATGCAAACACATTACTCCCTCTCTGTGCCCACTTCTCCCTCACTTGTCTTTACACACAAACAATAATATGCCATTTAGCCATTTAGCAAACAACTCAGGAGCATGATAACTAGCAAGCTATCCAATACAATATATTTGTTTACAGCTAGTCAACGTAGCACAGATCATATTTAGTAGCCCTTTCTTGCAGTCAAATGACCAAATCGCCCTCTAGTGGCCTCATGGGTGGAATGTTATTAGCATTTTTCATAATTTCATAATTCATAAACATTCACTTTTTTTAAACCACCGTGTTTCTATGTCAAACGGTTTTGCTATATTTCAGTGTTCTGTGATGTATATCAAGTGTAATATTGGGATGCAAACTCAAAATGGAATAAAATTCAACTCAATATCTGACATGGTACAGGTGTTTTCTTTTTTTAAGACAATAAGCATGTGTGTGAGGTGTATACTTTTGTTTCAAAGTAGATTTGTTTAAGACTATCAAGAAACCCTCTGTGTGACCCTGATTTTGCCCACTGCAGCAAAAGGTTAAAAACCGTCAAACATCAGTTAGTAAATAATAATAATAATGATTATTATTATTACTATTAATAATTAAAATAAGTAAATCTTCACACATTCAAATACACAAACACACACAAATCTACAATGCATCTAGTTGTGCCACAGCTAATGAACACAAAACTTTTCGGAGAATTCTTAGATCCTCTTTTAGTGTATTACAGACAAAACGTTGTTAAATAAAAGGTGTTGGGTAGAGGATAAAACAAGGCACGCATGGCTAGGACCTAGGGGAGCATGCTTTGGTCAAGTCCTGTGGAACCTGACCGGGTTCATCATGTAGTCGTGATGGCTGCTTAGCGCTGCTACTTTTGACTTATAGCCACACTGTGGCTCTAGACCAGGGCTGCCCAACCCTCTTCCTGGAGATCTACCGTCCTGTGGGTTTTCAGTCCAACCCTAAGGAACTCCCCTCTATTCTTACTCCGGATCTCCAGGAAGAGGGTTGGGCAGCCCTGCCCTAGTATGTTCGTGACTTGAGTGTTTCTGTGAAATATACGCTTGTTTGCATGTATAGTATGTGTCAGGTGTAGGTCTCTCCATAAATGCATGGATAGCATGGTGACTATGACACACACCAAAGGTCAGCGCAAAGGGGTTGAGTGAGTTGGGTTTGAACTTGCTGTGTCCCCTTGTAATACTGCTAAGCCATTGGTTCTGTTTGCTCCCAGAGAGAAGCTCAGCAGCATGCCACTCCCACTGTCCCTCTCCAGCTCCTCTGACAGTCACATCCCTGGTCCTTATGTCCACTTGACAGTTGCCTGATTCACACTGTAGGGCCAACCCGAACCGTACTGTCCTGGCTTGGATATTTTCTTTTCACATTGTCCTTTCCGGCAAAGTTCCAGCAAATGTGGTTGATACGTAACCAGGAAAGCCCAGTATAGTTTGGCTTGGTTTGGTGTGAATCAGGCTATTGTGACCAAGGAGCAATGGCCAGGGCGCTGCCTAAATACAGTACATGAATCAAAACTGCCCATAGAAACAGACCTGGCACACCTAGGCAGCATTCCTTCTCCGCACCTGCATAAAGTATAGTAGCATGCACCTGGGGGATCAAACAGCCAGCATTAACCCCCCAACCCCCTCCATCAGAACCCCTAATGCTGGCCCAAACTGTTAACATTTAGGTGTGGGTGGCAGGTAGCCTCGAGGTTAGCACATTAGGCCAGTAACCAAAAGGTTTGAATCCCGGAGCCAACAGCATGACCAATTTGTCAGTGTACCCCAAATGCTCCAGGGACACTGGTAAATAGCTGACCCTGACTCTGACCCCAACTCCCCACGGGTGTCTTGCAGATATTATAATTAACACCCAATCCCTCCATCCCCTCATCCCTCCCTCCATCCCAGGCAGGCCCAGTGCAGTACTCACCCACTACATCCAGGGTGTAGGTGTGGTTGATGGCGCCATATGAGTTCTCCACCAGGCAAGTGTAGTTGCCCTTGTCTGACGGCACCACACTCTCCATGATCAGGGTCCAGTGCTGGTGACGCACCTGAGAGGGAAAACAATGCATACTGTAGATGGATGGAAGGCCGCAGACCAAAATGGACAATTGTAGAGTACTATATAAGATTGAGAGAGTGAGTGAGGAGGCTCGGTGAGTGACGACGGTCAGGTCTGTTCTCACTAGTGCACCATGGTGAAAAACAATATTACAGGTGGTGACAGACTGGTCCAAGGTGAGCTGCTACCCCTACCCAAGGAAGTTCACTGTTTTGCTGGGACTGTGGAGTGGAGCGTTTCTAAAGCTACCGCTTACCCTTCTACTCCTTGGAACAGTGGTTCCAAAATGTTTTACTCGGGCCCCCCTCCCATCATTTTCACTCGTGAACATGCGCGCGCCACATCTATTTCTATGGGCACAAGCACTGTCCATGACACAAACTGTTCACACCTCTCTTGTTGGCAGAGAGAACATTTTGCAGGTCTAAAGCTTATTTCCTGGCGCAGGAGGGGATGGATGCAGTTTATGGACTCTTAACCAACCGTGCTATTTTGTGTGTTTTTTCGCATTGTTTGTAACTTATTTTGTACATAATGTTGCTGCTACTGTCTCTTATAACCGAAAAGAGCTTCTGGACATCAGAACAGCGATTACTCACCTTGAACTAGACTAAGAATTTTTCTTTAATGAGTCGGACGAGAGGGATTTGCTCCAGACACCCGACAGGGCCCTCATCCCCGTCATTCGCAGTAGAAAGAACCCTGATTGTACCACTTGTTGTTCTCTTAATTTGTGTCACTTTCTACTTGCTTACTGTCTATGTGACCTAAAGTTTTACTGTATGTTTGGGTTTTCTAATTGGGGGAGTTGAGAGACATTTAAAGCTGGGGGAGAGAGAGTGAGTATAATGTCCCATCGAGAGCACACACACGGATGTCTGAGTCCAATTTCAAACCAGCAACCCTGCCCTCCTCTCCTCTCCTCTGTCTCCAGTGATGGCGTAGAGGGGGTGGGTGACAGACAAATGTGATTAGCGGATTTTAAGAGCCAAAATGGAAGGGCAACAGTCTGCATCAAGATCAAGCCGCCAAAAATAGCATTGGAAGAGTAAATCCTTTCTAAACAACAGTCACAAATGTAAACTCAAATGAAACATTTAACTTCATAGACTCATTCCAAGGCACTAGTCGTGAGAAAATCCTTGCATGCTGCAGCGCAGGGTTCTCGCGTACCTTATACCCGCCCATGCGGTCCTCCTGTCGGAATGGTCGGCTGTTCTTCAGCCAGCGCATCTTAGGACGTGGGTTGCCCCCGGCAGCACAGCGGAACTTGACTGTGTTGGCAGCAGGCACCGCGTGCAGCCTCTTCTCCATCTTCTCCAACATCGTCCAATAGGGCGCCCCTAAAGAAAAGATACAACCAATCAGGTCAGATTCTGTCCATTCTAAACCCAATAACAGAATTATAGCAATACATGAACATGTAACATATTATATTTGGTAAGTACCAAAAAGGATCCATTGTTACCACATAGTGAATTAGTTATTACCATGTAAATATCAGCTTAAACCGGATTGTAAAATAAAGCTTTACTGATATTTGTGAGAGTTACTCTGCTCATTTTATCTCTACTCTCAACAGAAAAACTGTATGAGAAATATGGCGAAGCAGCAGAGCTCCCTTGAGTAAAGTTTTCAGTCCAAAGCCTGAACAACATGCACTACTACAGCTAGCATTAGCATTAGACTAGTAGTGAGGTAGTGAGAAAGAGTGGGGCCCCGGCTAGTGGAGGGGGGACAAGAAGGTGTGACCGAGGGGGCAAGCCCTTAACTGTTATTCACACTCCCCTGGCACCCTTCACAACACAGGGCTGTCTGGATAATACAACTCAGCCATTGATTCACAGGCTACGGCCCAAATGGAACCCTATTCCCTATAAAGTGCACTAAATAGGGAATAGGGACGTGCCTACAATTCACACTGGACAAACACTTAAAACAAACAAATCTGGTCTCTTTAGTGCGTTACAGGATCAGCTATAATATTGCAGTAATGTAAATGTATTGTGGCTCCATCAATGTAATTGTCTGCATCATTTCCAATCCCCTATATATTGTTTTGTAAATACAGTGCATTCGGAAAGTATTCAGACCCATTCACTTTTTCCACATTTTGTTACGTTACAGCCTTATCCAAAATGGATTAAATAGTTTTATTTCCTCATCAATCTACACACAGTACCTCATAATGACAAAGCAAAAACAGGTTTTTATAATTTTTTTGCAAATGTATTAAAAATAAAATACTGAAATATTGGAAAAGCACACAACTGTCTATATAAGGTCCCACAGTTGACAGTGCATGTCAGAGCAAAAACCAAGCCATGAAGTCGAAGGAATTGTCCGTAGAGCTCCAAGACAGGATTGTGTCGAGGCACAGATCTGGGGAAGGGTACCAAAAAATGTCTGCAGCATTGAAGGTCCCCAAGAACACAGTGGCCTCCATCATTCGTAAATGGAAGAAGTTTGGAATCACCAAGACTCTTCCTAGAGCTGGCCACCCGGCCAAACTGAGCAATCGGGGAGAAGAGCCTTAGTCAGGGTGATGACCAAGCACCCATGGTCACTCTGACAGAGCTACAGAGTTCCTCTGTGGATATGGGAGAACCTTCCAGAAGGACAATCATCTCTGCAGCACTCAACCAATCAGGCCTTTATGGTAGAGTGGCCAGACGGAAGCCACTCCTCAGTAAAAGCCCGCTTGGAGTTTGCCAAAAGGCACCTAAAGACTCTCACACCATGAGAAACAAGATTCTCTGGTCTGATGAAACCAAGATTGAACTCTTTAGCCTGAATGTCAAGAGTTACATCTAGAGGAAACCTGGCACCGTCCCTACGGTGAAGCATGGTGGTGGCAGTATCATCCTGTGGGAATGTTTTTCAGTGGCAGGGACTGGGAGACTAGTCAGGATCGAGTGAAAGATGAACGGAGCAAAGTACAGAGAGATCCTTGATGAAAACTTGCTCCAGAGTGTTCAGGACCTCAGACTGGGTTAAAGGTTCATCTTCCAACAGGACAGCGATCCTAAGCACTCAGCCAAGACAACGCAGGAGTGGCTTCGGGACAAGTCTCTGAATGTCCTTGAGTGGCCCAGCCAGAGCCCGGACTTGAACCCGATCTAACATCTCTGGATAGACCTGAAAATAGCTGTGCAACTACGCTCCCCATCCGACCTGACAGAGCTTGAGACAATCTGCAGAGAAGAATGGGAGAAACTCCCCAAATACAGGTGTGCAAAGCTTGTAGCGTCTTACCCAAGAAGACTCAAGGCTGTAATCGCTGCCAAAGGCGTTTCAACAAAGTACTGAGTAAAGGGTCTGAATACTTATGTAAATGTATTATTTGAGGATTTTTTTTTAAATAAATTTGCACAAAATTCTAATGCTTTGTCATAAGTGGTTATCCCACTGGCTATAGGGTGAATGCACCAATTTGTAAGTCGCTCTGGATAAGAGCGTCTGCTAAATGATGTAAATGTGCCCTTGAGCAAGGCACTTAACCCTAATTGCTCCTGTAAGTCGCTCTGGATAAGAGCGTCTGCTAAATGACTAAAATGTAATGTAAATGATTATGGGGTATTGTGTGTAGATTGATGAGGGAAACATTTTTTAAAATCAATATTAGAATAAGGCTGTAACGTAGCAAAATGTAGAAAAGTCAAGGGTTCTGAATACTTTCCGAATGCACTGTACATGCATATAAAATATTGTTGAAACAATAGATTTTTAGGACAAACTCTTAAAATGAATGTTCAAGGAAAACAAAACCTGTATGTGAATATTCTAAGATATTATATTTAATTAATCACTTACATTTGGTTAAATTTCCCAGAATGCATTAGTTTAACCCTCAAGTTGACCCTGAGGCAGTGTTACTTTTGGCTCTCTTTTTTAGATTTAGTCGAGTCTTAGTCAATTTAGTAAACTAAATTCCCTTTCATTTTAGTCACATTTTAGTCACATCACATTTGCATTGCCTCATTAACCTATAGTAAACATAAATCACTGACTTCCATATGCACAAACATACATACAGTGAGGGGAAAAAGTATTTGATCCCCTGCTGATTTTGTACGTTTGCCCACTGACAAAGAAATGATCAGTCTATAATTTTAATGGTAGGTTTATTTGAACAGTGAGAGACAGAATAACAACAAAAAAATCCAGAAAAACGCATGTCAAAAATGTTATAAATTGATTTGCATTTTAATGAGGGAAATAAGTATTTGACCCCCTCTCAATCAGTAAGATTTCTGGCTCCCAGGTGTCTTTTATACAGGTAACGAGCTGAGATTAGGAGCACACTCTTAAAGGGAGTGCTCCTAATCTCAGCTTGTTACCTGCATAAAAGACACCTGTCCACAGAAGCAATCAATCAATCAGATTCCAAACTCTCCACCATGGCCAAGACCAAAGAGCTCTCCAAGGATGTCAGGGACAAGATTGTAGACCTACACAAGGCTGGAATAGGCTACAAGACCATCGCCAAGCAGCTTGGTGAGAAGGTGACAACAGTTGGTGCGATTATTCGCAAATGGAAGAAACACAAAATACTTGTCAATCTCCCTCAGCCTGGGGCTCCATGCAAGATCTCACCTCGTGGAGTTGCAATGATCATGAGAACGGTGAGGAATCAGCCCAGAACTACACGGGAGGATCTTGTCAATGATCTCAAGGCAGCTGGGATCATAGTCACCAAGAAAACAATTGGTAACACACTACGCGTTGAAGGACTGAAATCCTGCAGTGCCCCAAGGTCCCCCTGCTCAAGAAAGCACATATACAGGCCCGTCTGAAGTTTGCCAATGAACATCTGAATGATTCAGAGGAGAACTGGGTGAAAGTGTTGTGGTCAGATGATACCAAAATCGAGCTCTTTGGCATCAACTCAACTCGCCGTGTTTGGAGGAGGAGGAATGCTGCCTATGACCCCAAGAACACCATCCCCACCGTCAAACATGGAGGTGGAAACATTATGTTTTGGGGGTGTTTTTCTGCTAAGGGGACAGGACAACTTCACCACATCAAAGGGACGATGGACGGGGCCATGTCCGTCAAATCTTGGGTGAGAACCTCCTTCCCTCAGCCAGGGCATTGAACATGGGTCGTGGATGGGTATTCCAGCCAAATTAGTGGCTCAAGAAGAGCACATTAAGGTCCTGGAGTGGCCTAGCCAGTCTCCGGACCTTAATCCCATAGAAAATCTGTGGAGGGAGCTGAAGGTTCGAGTTGCCAAACGTCAGCCTCGAAACCTTAAGGACTTGGAGAAGATCTGCAAAGAGGAGTGGGACAAAATCCCTCCTGAGATGTGTGCAAACCTGGTGGCCAACTACAAGAAACGTCTGACCTCTGTGATTGCCAACAAGGGTTTTGCCACCAAGTACTAAATCATGTTTTTCAGAGGGGTCAAATACTTATTTCCCTCATTAAAATGCAAATCAATTTATAACATTTTTGACATGCGTTTTTCTGGATTTTTTTGTTGTTATTCTGTCTCTCACTGTTCAAATAAACCTACCATTAAAATTATAGACTGATCATGTCTTTGTCAGTGGGCAAATGTACAAAATCAGCAGGGGATCAAATCCTTTTTTCCCTCACTGTAGCCTTGTCTTAGCATATATATTTAAATTTATTTTTATTTGGATTTCATGTAATGGACATACACAAACTAGTCCAAATTGGTGAAGTGAAATGAAAAAAATAACTTGTTTAAAAAAAGTCAAAAAAATAAATAAAAAGTGGTGCGTGCATATGTACTCCTTCATATGTATTCACTCCCTTTGCTATGAAGCCCCTAAATAAGATCTGGTGACACCAATTACCTTCAGAAGTCACATAATTAGTTAAATAAAGTCCACTTGTATGCAAGCTAAGTGTCACATGATCGCTCACATGATCTCAGTATATATACACCTGTCCTGAAAGGCCCCAGAGTCTGCAACACCACTAAACAAGGGGCACCACCAAGCAAGCTGCACCATGAAGACCAAGGAGCTCTCCAAACAGCTCTGGGACAAAGTTGTGGAGAAGTAGAGATCAGGGTTGGGTTCTAAAAAAATATCTGACACTTTGAACATCCTACGGAGCACCACAAAATACATTATTAAAAGATAGAAAGAATTTGGCACCACAACAAACCTGCCAAGAGAAGGCCGCCCAGCAAAACTCACGGACCAGGCAAGGAGGGCATTAATCAGAGAAGCAACAAAGAGACCAAAGATAACCCTGAAGGAGCTGCAAAGCTCCACAGTGGAGATTGGAATATCTGTCCATAGGACCACTTTAAGCCGTACACTCCACAGAGCTGGGCTTTACGGAAGAGTAGCCAGAAAAAAAGGCATTGCTTAAAGAAAAAAAATAAGCAAACACGTTTGAAGAAGGTACTCTGGTCAGAAGAGACTAAAATTGAGCTTTTTGGGCATCAAGGAAAACGCTATGTCTGGCGCTAACCCAACACCTCTCATCACCCCGAGAACACCATGTTTTTAATCGGCAGGGACTGGGAAACTGGTCAGAATTGAAGGAATGATGGATGGCGCTAAATACAAGGACATTTCTTCCAGAGATTTGAGACTGGGACAGATGTTCACCTTCCAGCAGGACAATGACCCTAAGCAAACTGCTAAAGCAACACTCGAGTGGTTTAAGGGGAAACATTTAAATGTCTTGGAATGGCCTAGTCAAAGCCCAGACCTCAATTCAATTGAGAATCTGTGGTCTGACTTAAAGATTTCTGTACACCAGCGAAACCCATCCAACTTGAAGGAGCTGGATCAGTTTTGCCTTGAAGAATGGGCAAAAATCCCAGTGGCTAGATGTGCCAAGCTTATAGAGACATACCCTGTAATTGCTGCAAAAGGTGGCTCTACAAAGTATTGACTTTGGGGGGGGGTGAATAGTTATGCACGCTCAAGTTTTCAGTTTTTTTGTCTTATTTCTTGTTTGTTTGCCAAGAGTGTGCAATGCTGTCATCAAGGCAAAGAGTGGCTATTTGAAGAATCTCAAATATAAAATATATTTTGATTTCTTTAACACTTTTTTGGTTACTACATGATCCCATATGTGTTATTTCATAGTTTTGATGTCTTCACTATTATTGTACAATGTAGAAAATAGTAAAAATAAAGAAAAACCCTGGAATGAGTAGGTGTTCTAAAACTTTTGACCGGTAGTGTAGCTGGAAAATTCGCTCTGGCTATCTACTCTGATTTCAGAGCACTCTCGTCTGAGTGTGCCAGAGCACAGAATAACTGACAAATTTACAAATGCTCAACACCCATTGAATATGGCTGGTGTCAGTAAACGTTGGCAAAAAAGCATTATTAAATTGTTGCCAGCAGCACATTTGCAGTCACCAATGCTCTGGATAACGTAAAAAAGGCTTTATAAATACATTTGATTGATTGATTGATTGATTGAATCTGACCATTTAACTCGCCCTAGCAGAGCTGGTTAGGCTGTTTTTATATCAGCAGATGTCACAAAGTGCTATATACAGAAACCCAGCCTAAAACTCCAAACAGCTGTTCTCTCATTTGTTTCAGGAAGTAGCTAGCAAGCTAGCCAAAGTTAGCCAGTTAGCTTGGGTGCTTGGGTGCTTGACTGCTGTTGTTAGGGCAGAACACTCAAATCAACCCTATTCCTCAGCCAGAGCGTCCAGTGTGTGCTCTGAATACTCAGAGAGCGAAACGCTCTGAATTTACGAATGGACAATCTGACAACGCCCTGAGTTTACGAACGCCCAGAAAACACTCTGGCACTCCAGATTAAATTTACGAACACACCCGTAGTATAAACCAGCCTTTAGTCTTCAAATCTTTGGTTGTTTAGTACATGGCCTCACATGTGAATCCTTAATCCAGGCTCTGTCATAGCCGGCCGCGACCGGGAGACCCATGGGCCGGCGCACAATTGGCCCAGCGTCCTCCATGGTAGGGGAGGGAATGGCCGGCAGGGACGTAGCTCAGTTGGTAGAGCATGGCGTTTGCAACGCCAGGGTTGTGGGTTCGATTCCCACGGGAGGCCAGTATGAAAAATTTAATAAAAATAATGTATGCACTCACTAACTGTAAGTCGCTCTGAATAAGAGTGTCTGCTAAATGACAAAAATTTAAATGTTAAAGAGATGGGTGGGACTAAAGCTTAAGAGGGTGTGAAGGATGCTGAATGGGTGTAGACAAAGAAGAGCTCTCCAGTATGTGTACCAAAACATTCAAGGGCCATTTGATCAACTTTCAAAGCAGAATTACTATCCCATTGTTCCTCAACTGTAGTGTATGATATACCATTTTCTAGCTCTGAGTCTCTACTTTTATCCAATGTAAAAAACACAATTTCAAATGTTGCTACATAAGACTGATTTCAGCCAGTCGGTCACATATAGGAAGTTAGGAACACCCCTCTTCTGTAACTGCAGCTCTCTCCACCCCTCCCTCCCTTTCTTTCCCCCACTTCCCCTCCCTGTCTCTCAGTCAGCTGTAGTTCCCTGCAGCCCTCTTCTCTTCTCTTTATCTCCCTCTCCCTCTCTCAAACACACACACAGTTTCTCTCTCTCTCTCTCTGCACCTGGGAGAGTGATTGCATAAGCAGATGGACTCAGTGAGGAAGAGAAACGTGGAGCAAAAAACAACAAGACAACCAACGTCCTCCCCACCATCACTTCCTATATCTCTAGGACAGGAGCAGGGGGAACATGGGGAACACTCCAGGGTTACTCTGGCTTTGAGACACTACTGTCCTTGATTCAATCAGTTTGACCACTGAGGGAATGGACAGGAGTTTATCCTTCTTGTTCTTGGGCTTCCCTTTCCACCCCTCGCTCTCTCTTCCCACTCCTCTCTCCCTTTCCCGTCCACCAGAGTGCAATCAGAACACTATTGGAGTCAATCACCTCCCATCATTGTCTCTGGCATGCAAACTGAACATTACACACATACTTTGATATAGGAGGAGTAAACCATGCTCTTCCTTCTGGGATGAACTAACGCACTATAATTAGGCTAGTTAGGCTCTCTTAAGCCGCTTTCCTTCACTCTCATGATCTCTACCTCTCTTCCTCTACCTCCTCCTTCTATTCCTCCCCATATTCTCTCTTTCAACATTTATTTTCTGTACAGCCAGTCTTCCTTCACTCTCATCATCTTCACCTCTCTTCCTCTCTCCATCTTCTTCTCTTTTTCAACACTTCGCCGTACAAACAGTCAGACAGATTAAGGTGGCGTATGCCCCCGTTGGGAGCTCGTCTCTCTCAGGTGAACTATGACCCTTAAGCCCTATGGATCCGGACAGCTCCTCTCACTGTTTACTCTGTGGCAGTCTGGGGTTAGCTCAGGTAACTCCAGAACAAGAATGTACTGTATGTTCAATATGAGAAGTGAGGCACAAACATAAGTGGCAAATTATAGTACTACTTGCTTAAAGTTGTAACTTGAGGGCATCAAATCCACAAATTTGCCCAATACTGTACACTTTCATTTAAAAGTACAGTACTAGAGCTACATATATACGTAGAACAATCATAACAAAGCAGCAAATTCTAAGACATTTATAAGCTTGTAAATTGTGGCATCAAATCCACAAATTCTACACCAACTGTAAGGTCTAGGTACCCTACAGATGTGTCAAACGAAGACAAACGGGAGCAATTAAGGTTGATCTCTTTAACAGGCCAGAGAATGAGTTAGAACAACAGAACCAAGTAGACTGGAACCCCACAGCCACTCTGACCTTCCCCCGAAAAACAAACCTTTTACCATGATCCTTCCGCAGGGCCTTGCTTGTCTCCTCCAATCACAGTCAACCTCCTGATGCTGGGCAGTGGGTAGCTCGTAACTTTCTCCCTGTGTTTTTTGGGGGGGCCGGGTTGTGATTGTGTTGTTGTTCTATCTCTTTTTTAGAAAGTGGAATCAAAGTGTTCAGAGTAGGAGCTGAGGCAGAAACTGAAACCCAGCTCCTTCCTTTCCCCCTCCATACCTCCACATCCCCCCTCCAGAAGTGGGCCAGGGGGACAGAGCTCCACAGTGTACACAGAGAAGTGCTGGTGCTGATCCAAACCAGAACGCTGTAGTTAAAAGGTCTGAACCTTCCCTTTTTTTCCCCTTTTCTCTTCCCCCACTCTTTTTTTATATTCCGGGTTTTGAATTCATAGAAAAGACACCAGGAGAAAATGTAACCGAGCTGCCAGAACAGCTGTTACTTTGTTTTCAAACAGCTTATTACCACCATAATTTATTGTTTTCCCTCTCCATTTCCCTCTCCTTGCAGAGTTCCTATCCGCCGTATTTAATGGATTTCAGGTAATTACAGTCTGCCCAAAGGGGGGGAGTTGAGCCCACAGTGAGGCAGGGTGCCTATGGAAAAATTTAACAAGATGTGGAAGGCCTCATCTTCACTTCAGCCCTGTGACACACACACACACACACACACACACACACACACACACACACACACACACACACACACACACACATACATACATTGTACTCTGAAAGTATTCAGACCCCTTCACCTTTTCCACATTTTGTTATGTTACAGCCTTATTCTAAAATGAATTAAATTGTTTTTTCCCCCCTCATTAATCTACACACAATACCCCATAATGACAAAGCAAAAACAGGTTTTTAGAAATGTGCTTAGGGTCATTGTCCTGTTGGAAGGTGAACCTTCACCCCAGTCTGAAGTCCTGAGCGCTCTGGAGCAGGTTTTCATCATGGATCTCTCTGTACTTTGCTCCGTTCATCTTTCCCTCAATCCTAACTAGTCTCCCAGTCCCTGCCACTGAAAAACATCCCCTCAGCATTATGCTGCCACCACCATGCTTCACTGTAGGGATGGTGCCTGGTTTCCTCCAGACGTGACGCTTGGCATTCAGGCCAAAGAGTTCAATCTTGGTTTCATCAGACCAGAGAATCTTGTTTCCCTTGGTCTGAGAGTCCTTTAGGTGCCTTTTGTCAAACTCCAAGCAGGCTGTCATGTGCCTTTTACTGAGGAGTGGCTTCCATCTGGCAACTCTACCATAAAGGCCTGATTGGTGGAGTGCCGCAGAGATTGTTCTCCCATCTCCACAGAGGAACTCTAGAGCTCTGTCAGATTGACCATTGGGTTCTTGGTCACCTCCCTGACCAAGGCCCTTCTCCCCCGATTGCTCAGTTTGGCCCAGCGGCCAGCTCTAGGAAGAGTTTTGGTGGTTCCAAACTTCTTCCATTTAAGAATGATGGAGGCCACTGAGTTCTTGGGGACCTTCAATCTTGCAGACATTTTTTGGTACCCTTCTCCAGATCTGTGCCTCGACACAATCCTGTCTCGGAGCGCTACGGACAATTCCTTCGACCTCACGGCTTGGTTTTTGCTCTGACATGCACTGTCAACTGTGGGACCTTATATAGACAGGTGTGTGCCTTTCCAAATCATGTCCAATCAATTGAATTTACCACAGGTGGACTCCAATCAAGTTGTAGAAACATCTCAAGGATGATCAATGGAAACAGGATGCACCTGAGCTCAATATCGAGCCTCATAGCAAAGGGTCTGAATACTACACACAATACATTTGCAAAAATGTATAAAAATCCTGTTTTCGCTTTGTCATTATAGGGTATTGTGTGTAGATTGATGAGATTTTTATTTTATTTAATCAATTTTAGAATAAGACTAACGTAACAAAATGTGGAAAAACTGAAGGGGTCTGAATACTTTTCCGAATGCACTGTACACACTCACACACATACTCACACACACACTTACACAAAGCCCATCCCCCACCAGGTCCCTAACCTAGTCCAGATGGGAGCTTCCATAATAGATTAGTCCAGCTGACTGGCTCCTTGGGGCCTGACAACCTGAGAAACTCCGGCTACAGAAGGAATGTTAGGAATTCTTCTTCCCTAGAGCGCCTAGAAGGTCTGGTAGAGATACGGCCGGCCTGGCTACCCCAGGTGCTCCCCACATAAAAGCATACTATAGTATACTGTGTTATAAATACTATAGTATTCACTGTAGTGTTTTGCTGACTTTACTGTAGTATTCATTGTAGCGTTTTTGCAGACTGTAGTATTTACAGTTAACTATAACATAAATACTGTAGTAAAAGAAAACTCTAGTATATACTATAGTAATTCAGGTAGTGTTTTTGTAGATTGTAGTATACTGTAGTACTTACTGGTGTTTTTGCGGACTGTACTATACTGTAGTATTTACTGTAGTGCTTTTGCGGAGTGTAGTACACTGTAGTATTTAGTGTAGTGTTTTTGCGGACATTAATGTATACTGTCTTTGTTTTATTATCTTTAAAATAGAAGAGGTTTCCTTCAGGAAACCTACTGGAGAAATACTAAAAGAGCAAATTTTCCATAACCTGTAGGTACAGTGCCTTAATATGCCATTTAGCAGACCTTCAGAAAGCATTCATACCCCTTGACTTATTCAACAGTTTGTGGAATGGATTACGTTGAGTTTTTTTCACCCATCTACACACAATACCAAGTGAAAACATGTTTTTAGAAATGTTTGCTATTTATTGAAAATGAAACATATTAACATTTAATTTACATAAGTATTCACACCCCTGAGTCAATACTTTATAGAAGCACCTTAGGCAGCGATTACAGCTGTGAGTATTTCTGGGTAAGTCTCTAAGAGAATTCCACACCTGGATTGCGCAAAATTTGCCCATTATTCTTCAAACTTTTTCAAGCTCTGTCAAATTGGTTGTTGATCATTGCTAGACAACCATTTTCAGGTCTTGCCATTGCATTTCAAGTAGTATTTAAGTCAAAACTGTAACTCAGCCACTCAGGAATATTCTCTGTCTTCTTGGTAAGCAACTCCAGTGTATATTTGGCCTTGTGTTTTAGGTTATTATCCTGCTGAAAGGTGAATTAATCTCCCAGTGTCTGGTGGAAAGATGACTGAACCAGGTTTTCCTCTAGGATTTTGCCTGTGCTTAGCTCCATTCCGTTTATTTTTTATCCTGAAAAACGACCCTGTCCTTAACGATTACAAGCATACCCATAACATAATGCAGCCACCACTATGCTTGAAAATATGGAGAGTGGTACTCAGTAATGAGTTGTATTGGATTTGCTCTATACATAGCACTTTGTATTCATTAAAAAGTTAATTGCTTTTGCATTACTTTAGTGCCTTGTTGCAAACAGGATGCATGTTTTGGAATATTGTTATTCTGTACAGACTTCCTTCTTTTTACTCTGTCAATTAGGTTAGTATTGTGGAGTAACTACAATGTTGTTGATCCATCCTCAGTTTTCTCCTATCACAGCCATTAAACTATTTTAAAGTCACCATTGGCCTCATGGTGAAATCCCTGAGTGGTTTCCTTCCTCTCCGGCAAATGAGTTAGGAAGGGCGCCTTTATCTTTGTAGTGTCTGACACGGGAGGTTGGTGGTACCTTAATTGGGGAGGACGGGCTAGTGGTAATGACTGGAGCAGAATTAGTGGAATGGTATCAAATACATAAAACACATGGTTTGATGCCATTCCATTGGCACCTTTCCAGCCATCAGTATAAACCATCCTCCCCTCAGCATCCTCTACTGGTGTCTGAGTATATTGATACACCATCCAAAGTGTGAGTCTTTTATTTTTACCAATCTACCAATAGGTGCCCTTTGTGAGGTATTGGAAAACCTCCATAGTCTTTGTGGTTGAATCTGTGTTTGAAATTCACTGCTTGACTGAGGGATCTTACAGATAATTGTATGTGTGCGGTACAGAGATGAGGTAGCCATAAAAGTCAAGAGCTTTGGTCATGATGACATTTGACCTCATGGCCGATAGTCCAATCAATTGCCCTCAGTTCTACATCAGTGTTATCATTTAACAATGAGGGTAAAAACAACCAAAAAAACTACAACCTTTTTGCTGAGTTCACATATTGCCCACAGGCCCCCACTACAGAAGACAATAGTCATGGCCTCTGCTGCCCACACTGTCCCCACAATACTATCCCCATACTCACTTATCTGCTCTCCGTCCGCCCCCACGTCCTCCGATCGCTCTGTGTCGTCCTCATCGTCCCCAGACGAGATGGCATCTGTAGAGATGACCACTGTTACTTACTGCCATCTCTGCCACCTCTCAGGACAGCTGCAGCCATACACATACACTCACACTGCTAGGCACACACACGCACTTTCACGCACACCACTACAACACACACACGCTCACTGCAGCACATGCTCATACGTGCACTGATGTGTTGAGGATCAGGTGATGTAATATTGACGTTTACATGAGTCACTAACCTATGTAAGAAAAGCTCAATAACTATAAATTAACTAAATGAGCCATAAAAACAAAACACCCAGTCCACAGCCCTTCCATGGCCATATCCCAACTACACCATTACAAAGGCAGCACCACCTCTCAAGAACAGGGATGTAGGTGCAACTCGGACCCTCACAGGTAAAGTAGCTGAAGCCACATTGCAGTCCAGCGACTATCCACTCTGCCTACACTGACTGTACTCTCCACAACACGGCATATGTGTATACCAGAGCCATATAAAAGCATACTATTAAACCTACACCATTGCCAACTCTGCCTGTGTCGGCCCATGTCCTGCCCAGACAGGCTGGCCGGCTGACTATCTGGTTACTCTCTGTCCTGCCTCCTTCATGGCACCCTGACTCACCTGTGACATTCACTATAAAGCAGAGCGTGTCGCTGCCCTGAGGACCCACAGTGCTGCAAGCGTACAGCCCCGAGTCCTTGGGAGTGGCGTCGCGGATCTGCAGAACCTCCTGCTCTATCAGGGTGCGGTTGTTGGCCCCCAGAGAGGAACCATCCTTAGTCCAGGTGATGGCCCCAGCCTCCCCGGCCAGAAGGCAACTGAGCTTCAGCAGTTCCCCCGGGTGCACCGAGCACACGGTGGGCTTAGAGATTTGGTATTTGGTCGGAGGCTCTGCAGAGCGAAGGAAGGGGAGGAGGAAGGTGAGGAGGGTTGTGCACAGAAAGGAGGGAGGAAAGTCAGGGAAAAAGGTGGAAGAAGAAATAAGCAAGTGTAAAAAAAAAACACACATAACCCCATGGATGCACTTAAATCAATGTTATGCCAAGAGGAGCGATACAGTGAGAGAGAAGAAGCCCAAATTGTTTAATCTTAAAACCATACATTAGGATGACAACCCCATAACCCCTTGTGGATCCCTCAGTCAGCCACACTCTAAACATTATCTTGTGTTGGGTTGTATTTTCATGTGTAAAGCATGCAGTTATGTCCCAAAGCAGAGGGTGGAGAGTGGACAGTGGTGTGGAGGTGGAGTCTGTAAGAATAACAACCAATCACTGTGCCCAGACAGATAGACAGACCCCCTCCCTTTTAGCAGAAAGACCAGGCAGCCAATGTGAAACAGCAGGGAAAACCGGATACCTCCAAAATGAAAATATATATATATATTTTTAATCTCCTACATCCATCAGAGAGTAAAGCCTGACAGGAAAGGGTCTAAGCGTGAAAGCTGTTTTAGAGGGGAGCTCTCGTTACGTTCTTTCTTCCTTTCCTTGTTTTAGGACAGTGAGTCTTCGACAGAGGAGAAAACCTTTAACTACTATGTTTTTCTGCCCTCTCTCTTTCTCTTTCTCTCTCTACAACCATGGTAAATCTAGTCTCAAACCTCTGCCTGCACAAAATCTACAGGCCAAGGAAGGCAAAAACATTTAAACCCCAAAGAGCATAATATAAAACTGTTTCTGGGATAAGCTCCAAATCCCACAGTAAGTGGTTCTGTGTTCTCTGCCTTGTAAGTTACTGTGGAGAAGCATGTCTAGGTCCACTAGAGGTGAATACATTTTAAATAAACCAACTCTAAAGCCCACACTGAGGCTGCGGCACCGTATTCCCTATATAGTGTATTACTTTTGACAAGAGCCATTTGGGACCAGAGCCCTACTTTTGACCTATGTGCCCTGGTCAAAAATAGTGCACTATATAGGAAGTAGGGTGCCATTTGAGATGCTTCCTAGACGTTGACACAGGAGTGAAAATTAATTCCTGTCCCGTCTTGTCCTGTCAATTTTTTTCCAGTACTGTCCTGATCCTGCAACTGTTCTATAAACCCAGAACTTTCCTGTCCTATCCCGATAAAAATCACTCCTATCCCGTCCCGTGCTAATTTTTACACGCAGAACAAATGAATGACTTCCTGCTTTAGTTGCTCGTCTGTCTGTCTCCTGCTCTGCATGTGTGTAGCCATAGTAACTGCTCCGTTTGGCTGCTGCACGGCGCTCACGAGACAATTGCCTGCACTCACAGCTGATAACAACCACATTACGTGATTTTGGCAATGAAGGCAGGCCTTCTACTTACCCAGAGTCGGATGAACTCATGGATATGGAACTTTGGGTCACAATTTCGAAACCTTTGGCCTCAACAAGATTAAATGGCGCACATATCTGACAACCTACCGGTCATCCTACTGTTTACCTCAGATGGCTCGGGTTTAGTTAAATACGTAAACGACTGGTAACGTTGTTGGTAGTAAAGCAGCTTTGCCACTTTTTTACAAGCCGTGTACTCTGTTCCCTCGTTGTCAAATACCACTATCAAATGTTCCTTTTCCTTTTAATGGCTCTAATGTTAGTGATGGGTCCTTGGCTGCAAAGAGACGTTGCAATTCATCGTTCACTGACATACGTTGGCATCTGAGGTAAAGTAGTGACTGGCAGTGGCTACAACTGGAGAGAGGCGCGAGAGTGAGCCGACGGAAGGGGAGGGGGAAATGACCATTTCTTTTTTTTATAGATTTTTATTAAGTAAACTATATTATGCCTACACACAGTTTTTTTAATGAAATGCTCCATACATTACACATTCTTAACCCCCCCCCTCCTGTACTGCCCGTTCCTGTGGACTGTTGATCCTGTCCCAAACTTGACTCTAGAACTTCACTTCCTGTTCCTGTGTCAACCTCTAATGCAGCCTCTCTGCGATGCCACTGCTGCATGGATTCAATCCACCTCTCTGGACGCATTATGAGTGAGCATGGACACTAATATGATGCCAATGTAAATTGATTATTGCAATGTATATTGAATCCAGGCCCAGTCACCCTCAGGCTCTCCCACACATTCTGACATAATGCCTACACAAGCACACACACAAGTGTTTCCCCTAGGAAAGAGTTAGCTGGGGGGAGTGGGTGAATGCGGGGGTCTTCCTGCGGGGGGATACATCTATACATCCCCCCAAAAAATTGCAGTGGCGGCCACGATTTAGCAGCGACGGTGCTTTACCCCTCTGCTAGACCCCCCACACACAGAGAGAGAGAGAGAGAGGATTCTCTGGATCGACACATAGTTTACAGATCTCAACACTCAGTAAAACCCTTCATTATAAAAAATAAAAAAACTTGGCAGAGGTGCAAGATTTTTGGATTGTTTATTGATGCGCAAAACGTGTGTGTGTGCGTGCGTGCATGTGCACGTCTGTGCATGTGTGTTCTTTCTCAGGAAAGGGGCTGAGCTGGGAAAGATTAAAAGGTTTTGAGGGGAAAATAAACTCCCAACAACAATGAAAACATTTATTAAAAACTCCTGTTCTGTGTCTGTCTGACGTGTCTTTTGGCTGACTGTCTACATTTGGCTAATTGTACACTAATAATTAGAGGCATAGTTTATTAAAATTACTTTATTGGTCAGTTGTACACAAGGACATTTTAGTTCTGCGTTTAACCCAACCCCTCCGAAAGACACACTTACAGTTGAAGTCGGAAGTTTACATACACCTTAGCCAAATACATTTAAACTCAGTTTTTCACAAATCCTGACATTTAATCCTAGTAACAATTCCCTGTCTTAGGTCAGTTAGGATCACCACTTTATTTTAAGAATGTGACATGTCAGAATAATTGTAGACAGAATGATTTATTTCAGCTTTTATTTCTTTCATCACATTCCCAGTGGGTCAGAAGTTTACATACACTCAATTAGTATTTGGTAGCATTGCCTTTAAATTGTTTAACTTGGGTCAAATGTTTAGGGTAGCCTTCCACAAGCTTCCCACAATAAGTTGGGTGAATTTTGGCCCATTCCTCCTGACAGAGCTGGTGAAACTGAGTCAGGATTGTAGGCCTCCTTGCTCGCACACGCTCTTTCAGTTCTGCCCACAAATTTTCTATAGGATTGAGGTCAGGTCTTTGTGATGGCCACTCCAATACCTTGACTTTGTTGTCCTTAAGCCATTTTGCCACAACTTTGGAAGTATGCTTGGGGTCATTGTCCATTTGGAAGACCAATTTGCGACCAAGCTTTAACTTCCTGACTAATGTCTTGAGATGTTGCTTCAATATATCCACATAATTTTCCTTCCTCATGATGCCATCTATTTTGTGATGTGCACCAGTCCCTCCTGCAGCAAAGCACCCTCACTGCATGATGCTGCCACCCCGTGCTTCACGATTGGGATGGTGTTCTTCGGCTTGCAAGTTCCCCCTTTTTCCTCCAAACATAACGATGGTCATTATGGCCAAACAGTTATATTTTTGTTTCATCAGACCAGAGGACATTTCTCCAAAAAGTACGATCTTTGTCCCCATGTGCAGTTGCAAACCATATTCTGGCTTTTTTATGGCGGTTTTGGAGCAGTGGCTTCTTCCTTGCTGAGCAGCCTTTCAGGTTATGTCGATATAGGACTCGTTTTACTGTGGATATAGATACTTTTGTACCTGATTCCTCCAGCATCTTCACAAGGTCCTTTACTGTTGTTCTGGGATTGATTTGCACTTTTCGCACCAAAGTACGTTAATCTCTAGGAGACAGAACGCGTCTCCTTCCTGAGCGGTATGACGGCTGTGTGGTCCCATGGTGTTTATACTTGCGTACTATTGTTTGTACAGATGAATGTGGTACTTTCAGGCGTTTCAAAATTGCTCCCAAGGATGAACCAGAAGGTCTACAATTTCTTTTCTGAGGTCTTGGCTGATTTCTTTTGATTTTCCCATGATGTCAAGCAAAGGCACTAAGTTTGAAGGTAGGCCTTGAAATACATCCACAGATACACCTCCAATTGACTCAAATGATGTCAATTAGCCTATCAGAAGCTTCTAACAGCATGACATAATTTTCCTGAATTTTCCAAGCTGTTTAAAGGCACAGTCAACTTAGTGTATGTAAACTTCTGACCCACTGGAATTGTGATACAGTGAATTATAAGTGAAATAATCTGTCTGTAAACAATTGTTGGAAAAATTAATTGTGTCATGCACAAAATAGATGTCCTAACCGACTTGCCAAAACTATAGTTTGTTAACAAGAAATTTGTGGTGGTTGAAAAACGAGTTTTAATGACTCCAATCTAAGTGTATGTAAACTTCCGACTTCAACTGTACATACAGTATACCGATTTTTGGAGAGGTTCAGGGGCTGCCACACTGGGCGCCCAAGGAGCTGTTGTTGTGGGAGGTTAAGTGCCTTGCTCAAGGGCACAACGGCAGGCAATAGCATCTAGGATTTGATACCCTACGGTTGCCAGCTAATTTCCCGACAGATTTTTCCAGCCGGACCCAGGATTCAATGCAGCAACCCTCTGGTTGCTGGCTTTCCTCTCTAACCGCTAGGCTACCTGCCGCCCCAGGTACAGAGGCCTTCCCAACCGTTCCTGTACCTCAGCACACCTCCCTAAATACATTCCACCCTCATTGTGTGTGCTACATTATCCCCCTCCCCCGCCACCCCCATCCTAGGCAGGAAGAGAAAGTGAATTCCACTCGCAGGCAACCGGCCGGGCCAGAACGTGTGCGCAAGGCTCTAAACGCTCCCCCCGGGGCACATTGTCCCACACAGGTATAGTTTCGGTACTGTCATATTTTTCTCTTTCCTTCACTCCGGAAATAATGTACCTTTCCCTCTCCACCCACCACCACCACCACACAGTGTGTGTGGTCTGGGGAGGAGTGTGTGTTGATTGATGGGGGCTATATTCCCCACCTTAGTATTCCATAGTACCGGGGGCTGTACTTTCATTTCATAGATATTGAATCTGTGTTTCCCTCTATTGTGTGATCAAAGCCTTTGGAAAGAGCTGTTGTGTTAGCCTGTTGCCTGATTCGGCCTCAGTTAGGGAGCTAGGCCTCTCTGTCTGTCTGTTAACACAGAAGAGAGAGAAGGGGTGTACAGAAAGCCGATATGCACAGAACTGAGAGGGGATGGTCATATACTATGACAGGGACCATGCATCACACACACCCAGAATGGGGGGTGGGGAAAGACGTGGTAAAAAAAGACATGTTGGGAAAACGAAAGGAGAGATGGAGGGTAAACTAAGAGGAACTGGGATGGGCTCCCTCACTCCAAATGGTGGCACTTCGAAAGGCATGCTTAAGTGTTACTTTGAGGTGTTCTATATCTCTTCTCCACTGTGTGTGCATCTGTCCCTCTCCATGAATCCCTCTCCCTCATTCCTCTCTTTCACCTCATCTTCCCCTCCTCCTCTCCTTTTCCTCCCCCCATGACACTGTTGACCTGACCCTGATCCCATCCCTAAACCTGATGACACCTTCAGGATTCCCAATCATTCATGGGAACCATGGGGACCTCCACATCACACCTCGAAACACACACACCAGGGTTTCCGTGAGGAAAATGTGCCGCCCCACAAATGACTGGGAAGATTTTCATTTATCGGACATTTGAGAAATGTACCGTTCATCCATATGCATTGGGTGCGTAACCCAAGCAGCCAGCACCATTAACAAACTAGGGATATTGGCCAAATGAGCCACATTTACAGTACGTGTCCTTAAAAAAACAGCCTATAACATATTACAAAAACCGTGTAGCAAATGCAAAACATTAAAGCCTATTGTTTTATTGGTTTTTACTTTCCTAAAACAATAATTGTCCACCTCACGGTTCAGCTGTCGGAGATTTGAGCCCTAAATGCATCAGGGCATTGCATGCATAGGCCTATGGGCTTAGGTGATATAATATGTATAAAGGAAGATAAGCTTAGGTCTAGCCCCAGAGAGCGAGAGATAGAGATATGCCGGCTGCATGCTATGACACCGACATGCATGTCTTTATCCTTGTCAGATGGGCTACTGCATCTGCTATACAGATATAGGCGTACAGGAGGAGGCTAATTTGTAAATTTTCTGTCCGAATATTTTTGATAAAGAAAACATTCTATTGTTAGATTATAGGAGTAACTCTGGTAGGCCTAAAACATTCTTCCTCACCTCAAGTTCAACTGTCAGAGTCAGTTGGAGTACCGGTGCGCACTGCCTTCATATCATAGGCCTGCAGTATAATAGGATAATAGCCACACCATACCAAACCTTCACAAACGTTTCTAAACTTTATTAGGGTAATATCAATAGTAAGTCAAGCCATTGTTTATAGGGAAAATACGAGCAGGATATTACCCAATATTATAGTACAATATTACAATATTTACTTTATCGGCCAAAAGCTGGCAATTACTGGCTAACGGAAACCCTGACACACACACAAATTCCCTAACCCACACTCCAAATTCCCTCCCTTATCACAGCAGCCTATATTCCCTAACTTCATCCACATAGAAACACACTGACTCTAGTGGAGAAGTGGCCACAGACTTTGTTTTATAATGCAGCATCCCAGTCGAGGGCTGAGTTAGGGCTTAAAACCCACCACTGCAGACTTTTCAGCTCATCCTCTTCCTCCTGTACCACAGGGGGGATGTGTTATGATATGAACTCATCTCACTCCTAGACAGCTCTCTCCATTTCTATCAGACAGCTCTCCCTCCCTCCTATCTCTCTTTATTTCTGTTACTTTATATCTCCACCTCCCTACTCTCTCTCTCTCTCTCTCTCTCTCTCTCTCTCTCTCTCTCTCTCTCTCTCCTCTCTCTCTCCTCTCTCTCTCTCTCTCTCTCTCTCTCTCTCTCTCTCTCTCTCTCTCTCTCTCTCTCTCTCTCTCTCTCTCTCTCTCTCTCTCTCTCTCTCTCTCTCTCTCTCTGTGTGTGTGTGTGACAGTTATTATCAGCATGACTATCAAGTGTGACAGACTGGAACTGTCTCACTCCTCTCTTCATTCACACTATCCTGACAAGAAGTAATCATGCTCCCTGAGTGACTACGGCAGAAGGGCTGCAACCAATTCGCACACCAGAATACACTATCTATCTGTCTTTCTCACTCCATCTGTCCAACTGTCTGTCATATCTGTGAGCAGACTAAGCACCAACAGTACCAGTATCCAAGGAGCATGTGTTACGTACAGTGAGGGAAAAAAGTATTTGATCCCCTGCTGATTTTGTACGTTTGCCCACTGACAAAGACATGATCAGTCTATAATTTTAATGGTAGGTTTATTTGAACAGTGAGAGACAGAATAACAACAACAAAAATCCAGAAAAACGCATGTCAAAAATGTTATAAATTGATTTGCATTTTAATGAGGGAAATAAGTATTTGACCCCTCTGCAAAACATGACTTAGTACTTGGTGGCAAAACCTTTGTTGGCAATCACAGAGGTCAGACGTTTCTTGTAGTTGGCCACTAGGTTTGCACACATCTCAGGAGGGATTTTGTCCCACTCCTCTTTGCAGATCTTCTCCAAGTCATTAAGGTTTCGAGTCTGACGTTTGGCAACTCAAACCTTCAGCTCCCTCCACAGATTTTCTATGGGATTAAGGTCTGGAGACTGGCTAGGCTACTCCAGGACCTTAATGTGCTTCTTCTTGAGCCACTACTTTGTTGCCTTGGCCGTGTGTTTTGGGTCATTGTCATGCTGGAATACCCATCCACGACCCATTTTCAATGCCCTGGCTGAGGGAAGGAGGTTCTCACCCAAGATTTGACGGTACATGGCCCCGTCCATCGTCCCTTTGATGCGGTGAAGTTGTCCTGTCCCCTTAGCAGAAAAACACCCCCAAAGCATAATGTTTCCACCTCCATGTTTGACGGTGGGGATGGTGTTCTTGGGGTCATAGGCAGCATTCCTCCTCCTCCAAACACGGCGAGTTGAGTTGATGCCAAAGAGCTCGATTTTGGTCTCATCTGACCACAACACTTTCACCCAGTTCTCCTCTGAATCATTCAGATGTTCATTGGCAAACTTCAGACGGGCCTGTATATGTGCTTTCTAGAGCAGGGGGACCTTGCGGGAGCTGCAGGATTTCAGTCCTTCACGGCGTAGTGTGTTACCAATTGTTTTCTTGGTGACTATGGTCCCAGCTGCCTTGAGATCATTGACAAGATCCTCCCGTGTAGTTCTGGGCTGATTCCTCACCGTTCTCATGATCATTGCAACTCCACGAGGTGAGATCTTGCATGGAGCCCCAGGCCGAGGGAGATTGACATTTATTTTGTGTTTCTTCCATTTGCGGATAATCGCACCAACTGTTGTCACCTTCTCACCAAGCTGCTTGGCGATGGTCTTGCAGCCCATTCCAGCCTTGTGTAGGTCTACAATCTTGTCCCTGACATCCTTGGAGAGCTCTTTGGTCTTGGCCATGGTGGAGAGTTTGGAATCTGATTGATTGATTGCTTCTGTGGACAGGTGTCTTTTATACAGGTAACAATCTGAGATTAGGAGCACTCCCTTTAAGAGTGTGCTCCTAATCTCAGCTCATTACCTGTATAAAAGACACCTGGGAGCCAGAAATCTTTCTGATTGAGAGGGGGTCAAATACTTATTTCCCTCATTAAAATACAAATCAATTTATAACATTTTTGACATGCGTTTTTCTGGATTTTTTTGTTGTTATTCTGTCTATCACTGTTCAAATAAACCTACCATTAAAATTATAGACTGATAATTTCTTTGTCAGTGGGCAAACGTACAATATCAGCAGGGGATCAAATACTTTTTTCCCTCACTGTATATAGAGAGCAGTGTGATTTTCTAAGAGGTGTGTGATCATAAAACAGACACCGCTGTAAACTAGCTAGCTCTTCTTGCCCAACTCTCTCGCCTGTAGTTTAGTGGATAACGGGATGGTAAGACTGAAAGTCATAACAAAGTGTACACAAACACATGCATAAGCATGCACACACACACACTTTGACACACACACCTCATAAACTATGCTATAGCCTGCATACTCTCCCCTTTTTCTGTGTCCTCTCTCTGTCCTTTGACTTCACTCTTTCCTTTACACACAGTTAAATCCCAGGACTCTTATTATTTCCCTCTCTTCACTCTAATTAGGGGCTCAGGGATATGCTGTGAATAACTATTGTTATTTTCGCCATAATTTTTTGAAGCATAGATTGGTAACTTTTTTTCTAATTTGGCACAGAAACTAGAGGCCATGAGTAAATTGGTCTAAAATAATGGCACTGTCTATGGGGTGCGCTGTTTTAAGCAGTCTCACGTAAACCCTTATATCCATTGCCCCGTTTGACCTAGAAACGTGGTATGTAGGTGTATTTCCTCATGCTGAACAGATTTGCCACAAGGACCCATAAGGTCCGGCAGGATAGATTTTCCTCCATCTTGGAAATGTTGGAAAACCGTTGATGAACCATGGTACATCTCTTAACTTAGTTTGAGAAATCGGTTAACTCAGCCGAGTTATTGCTAAATCAGAAAATAAATCAGAAAACTCCACATCAATTTACAATGCAGAATAATGGTCCTATTACGTATGTATGACCGCAAGGGCCGGGCAATGAAGTTATATCTACCGCAACACTGCAGCTACAGTAACATGTCAATAGTGACAATTGATAAGACAATTTAAAAAAGTGCTGCATCAGGTCTATAGCTTTTCAGACAGTAGAATTCTGCTCCAGCGTAAAATGTTCTGTATTTTTTCACTGACCACAATAAATGTCGCTGACTGATGTGTTGCTGTGTTGTTTTTTATGCATTTATTTATGGTATGGTAGCTTTTATTTCTACTAAATGTCTTGGTAAATCACGGTTTTTAACAAACTTTAAGGTACTTTTTAGGAGAGAGTGGTTTGTGCGCAGGCAGCAGGCTGGGTGCAGCAGCTCAAGATTATTTGATTGACAGTTCTGGTTGCCTAGTGATAGTCCCTTCAGAAGAGGCATTCCTTTTTTTAAACGTCCGTTCATATCACCAGAGAAGGTTTCGTGTCAGCATTTGTTTTTTAAACGTAGTGTGGCCTACCCTAACAGACAAACAAACAGGCTGTAGCCGAGGTGCTTTCAAGGGGCCACATTCCATTGCGTCTGAAAAGCATAATTGATACAGGCTACCTGTAGCCTATTGTAATTTAATATGAGGCAAAAATGAAGAGTAGGCTACCCTGTGCTTGCAAGACTGGCCCGAAGACATCGGTGTCATGAATAGGCTAGGATATTCTTCACGCAACAGACCGAAGATTGAACACACACTTGCATCATTAGCGAAGAGACCGAGCAGGCAAGTGTGCTCATATTGTTTGGTAATCTGCATCTCGCAATGTCTTGCATGCAAATTCACCAATAGCCTAAAGTTTGCCTCTTCCTCTCTGGTTTTATTTTAATTACACAACTTCCCCAGGCCTTT